GGTCTCGTGTGGTATAAAGATGGATCTAAAACTAACAAGGGAACAGGCTCTGGCGTACATGGAGTTAAACCTCAATGCGACATCATCGTCTCACTGGGAAAACATGCCACTGTATTTCAGGCTGAAATACATGCAATCGAATTATGTGTACGAGAGAATTTAAGAAGGAAGTACAAAAAACAATCCTAATTCTCTCAGATAGCCAAGTAGTCTTAAAGGCTCTTGATTCAAATAGAATCAAGTCAAAGCTTGTCTGGAACTGCCTTGGAATACTAAATGATCTGGCAACCCACAACAAGGAAAACTAGCGTGGGTACCAGGACACAAAGGTATCCAAGGAAATGAAAAGGCTGATGAACTCGCCAAAGAGGGATCAGATCTACCATTCACAGGACCCAAACCTGTATTTGGGATAAGCAAAACCTCTGCTCAACAGGCAGTGAACAGGTGGATAACCACAAAACACCAAATTCACTGGCAACAGATAAAAGGGCACAGAATCAATAAGCTCATGCTAAGGGGAACCACACCCAAGCATGGCTACTGAGGCACTACAACTCACAAGGCCTCATATATCCACCATTGTGGGATTACTAATGGGGCACTGCTTGCTGAAACACCTTCATGTAATGGGATTACACAATGATCCCACTACGTGTAGACTCTGCATGGAAAAGGAAGAAACCTCATGCCATGTGATCTTCGAATGCGAAGCTCTTACTAGGCGACGTTTCATCCTTTTCGGCCTAGAACCGGAAAGAACGCCCCAGGAACACTTGGTAGGGAACCTATTAAAACTAACCAAAGACACAGAACTATTCCAAAGATTGTACCTGAATACAAGAAAAGCAGGGGAATACAATAGACCCAACAGGCCACAGTGTTCTGGGCCAAACTTAACCCTACCTGCTTACAACCGATAAAGATAAAAAGGCAAAATTTAAATACAATATTTTCTTTTATTGACCACTCTGTATTTTATATCACCATTGAAAACTACTTTCCTTTGAGTCAAGCATTCCATATAGCTAAAGTTAATAATGCTGGAAGATTTTTAAATTTAAATGACAAAAAAGATAATGTACACACTTTAATTTTAACTGGTTACTGGTTAATAGAACCTTTTCTTAATAGGTAATTAGAATTTAACCAGCTATAATTTATTATCGACTGAATAATTTGACTTTTACATTAAGTAAAAAAATAAATAAAAACAGCAACCAAAAACTTCACATAATATCTATTTTATTCTAAGTTTAAACATATTTTATTTAATTAGAAAAGTTTCTCTAAGTAGCCTCCAATAAAATTTATGGAGGTCGTTTTCAAACGGTCAACTCATCTTCCTAATCATTTCCTGAGTAACTCTTGAATAAGAGAAGATTCACGATTAAAGATCATATTAAAAAACTGGCTAGACTTTTTTAAAACAAATATTGACCAATAATGACATTACGATGGCGTAGAGTGAAAACCTCGTATGTCCAAAATAGCAATTTTACAGATAAAACGGCTCTTACGCCATATACAATGTAATGGATATGTAGTTTACATGTACGTCGCTGGAAGGCACCGCTTTCAAGACAGTGCTGCCAAATTTATTTGTTTAATGGCTCATAAAGTATTCATTTAAATAAAATAATAAAATATTTTCAAAAAAAAAAATTAAGATACGAGGTTTTCACTCTACGCCATCGGTTAGTAATGAACTGTTAGTATTAAAGTTTCAAATTCAACTTAAAAATTGGAATGAAGTCAATTTTCCTCAATCAGTTTATTTTCATTTTTCATTTTTAATAAACATTAAACGCGGTTGAACTGTTGGGCCTGAGTCAATTTACATGCGCGAACGCCGCTCGAGATCTCGTTGCACGGTGGGTCTGAGCGTAAATGGGGTTTGAACGAGACCCGAGATGCTATTGAAATGATCAGTTCGATATAATTTTTGACTGCCACCAGTCGAGTCTAATAAGCCGCACTAGAAATCAAATCACGGCCGATATATTTTTTTTCTTGTATTTACAAATCCGTTAGGTAAAAAACCTTGTTCCGCTTTTTACGTTTTATATTGAGACCGTATTTAATTTTAAAAACCGAATTAGCTCGTAGGAATAGAAACATTTTCATTCGGTGTTTAGTTAAAAGATTTAATTTGATTTCATTAATAAATAATAGAATTTATTTCTTAACAAATCATACCGTTTTTTTTATAACTACTGTTGAGTTAAAAGATTTTAAATTCGACTTCATTAATAAATTAGAATTTGTTTCTTGGCAAGAATAATACTTTTTTTTATAGATAGACTTTAATTTGAATTCATTAATAAATATTAGAATTTATTTCTTGGCAAATATAATACCGTTTCTTTAAAAAGGAATAGAATTTGAATTAAATAATAAATGATAGGATTTAATTCCGTAATATTGTAAAACAGGAGATTTTAGACTTTTGATCGTTAAGTCTGTATTAAGAAATTATTTTTTTCTTTTTGGTAGGTTAAATCGGGAATTAAATTTGATTTTATTGATAAATACTTTTGTTTAGTAAGTTCCGCGTTGTAATTAAGTTGGGAATATTTATAAACGGAGTTTTCGAGGAGACGTTTTCCCTCTTTTAATAGTTTGTTTATTCCTTTACCGTATATTTGAATAATCTTAAATAGCATCCTGTCCTTGTCTGAACGGGCTCGTGATGACGATCAGTTCACGCTCTTGGAGTAGGTGCTATCCGCGTTATAATTTTTTTTTAGTTAATCTGTAAACCGCAAATTTAAATAATCTTAAATAGTATTCTGTCCTGTTTGAACGGGCTCGTGATGACGATCAGTTCACTCTTGGAGTAGGTACTATCCGCGTTAGTAATTTTCTTCCATCCGATAATAGTTTTTTCTCTTTTACCGTCAATTTAAATAACTTTAAATAGTATCCTGTCCCTGTCTGAACGGGCTCGTGATGACGATCAGTTCATTCTTGGACTAGGTGCTATCCGCGTTATTTTCTTTTCCCCTTTATATTCTTCATTTTTTTCTTGCAAACTGCAACTTGCAGAAATCAAAAATAGCTTCATTACCCTGTCTGAGCGGGCTCGTAATGACGATCAGCTCATTCTGGAAAAATAGGCTACCCCGGGTATAAATTTATTTTTATCTTCTTTCCGTATATTTATTATAAGTAATTCTTTCGCGTCCCTGTCTCCTCGCACTCTCTTTGACCGTTTAGTAGAATACCTACATTTTAGTTTAATTCCCGATACCACAGTTAAACAGTTAATTACCGAGTAAATAGCCAAGTTAATAATTTTTTTCTCTGCGACCGAAACATACATTTTATTTTAATTCAATTTTGACGTCTGATTGAGACTAGTCGCGAGTCAATACCGTCCGTTTTGTTTTTTTTTTTATTCAGGGTTATATTGACTATCACAACAACTGGGGTGGGCGTTGAAATAGATAATTTTTTTTATGTTGTAAATAGTTATTCACAATATATGTGTCAATGTTAACTTGCCGTATTACTGGTTAATAAATCCCTACTTTATTTCCCCCTTATAATTCAGCTAGTGATAAATTCTGTACGAGCCCAAGCAACGATTAAAGCCCGTTACTTGTGGCCTACTATTACCTGTGTCTAAGTGACCTTTGACCCCTGGAATTTTTTATCTCCATCTGTAGCTACCCCAGTACTTTCGACGCCGTTTCGAAAGTTTGTGGAGTAAACCATCATCAAAAATCTGGCGCTCGAGAACCGCCCGTAACCAGCGTCATTCGTAAGGAACCGTTTTCTCTGTGGCGAGAAAACCCCTTACAAAATATAATAATCTTAGAATAAAGTAGTATAATGGAGTGAGTCCATGATTGATTGTTATTGGTATTTACTTTTTACTGAGTGTTAAAGTGCTATTAGAAATTGTCAAAAAATCATTCAATCTCCACAAAATTATTAACTTCACATGTAGGATATGCGTAACTCAAATGAACATTTAATCAATGTACTTTTAAATTTAAAAAATATGTAAGATGATATATTTGAATTTAGACTCACCCTGTACAGATTTTTAAATGAAAAATATTGTGCGTCGGTATAAATGTTGAGTAACATCGAAAAACTTTTACCGCGAAAAATTGGCTTTCAACTGTTTCTCTTGCATTGAAATCGATACCATTTTCTTATAAAACTGGTAATAGCGTGTAAAGTAATTCCATACTATTTAGATATTGTTATAATGGGAAAAGTGGAAGCAATACGAAATTAAATTTAAATACAAGGTGTTAAATTTAACAAAACCTAATTTTAATATGTATCACTTCCTGGAAAACCCTGAATAATTGAAATAATTTTTAAAATGTTGCATTTTCTGATATATATCTCTGCAATAGATTTTGCTCTACGGACCGAGGCGTTACCGGTGGCCCACCCTGTATATAATTTTTGTATTAAATTAAAATGCCACTAGAAACATTTCCTCCTGTCCCGTAATTCCGAAAATACCTACTTATTTTGGAGCCGTGACAGATGTCAGTATTTCGTTACATATTCCCTTTTTTACTGCCTATAATTGACGGCTTCAACTATAGTGTATACTTTAATCACAGTTTTTTTTTTATTTCTAATAGTATGCCAAAGAAAATTTCTTATTTATTATTTCCTTTGCGCTTCTTTATCGATTTTCCCTTGCGTTTTAACTGTTAACGAATTAAATGACGACCAGATATTGCGGACACTGGTGCGTGACCAAAAGCAACGTCAATGAAATAAAAAGATGAAGATGAAAAGGATGCATATAAAAGACTGAATAAGCGCATTGACCGTGCGTTTTAGTAATCTTATTCCTCATCTCCTTATCTGATTTACTTATTGGAACGTTACCGGTCCCAGTTTCGTTCTTGTAAGGTATGAACCGTTCCCAAGAATGATTTTTAAGGTTGTAGGGAGATGATTCGGGAGCGGTAAGGTCTTTGTTATCTATTTTAGAAAATGGTTTAGAATAAAAATCTACTGACATGAGTTCCTGAAGCTTGTGCGACTTCTCGATTTCCTCGGTTTTGATTTTCTCGTAATCCGCTTGCAGTTGCTGTTGCGCCAAAGAGAGTTTCTGATTTGAACTGAAAATAAAAAGAAATCAACCCAAAATCTTTGTAGTAAGACATTCTGCATTAGAAAGTTATTTCCTTTTATTAAACATAGTCGGCATAAAAGATAATATCTTAACTAGATTGCCTATCATTGCACCTCTTTATTACAAAATGTTTGACTAATTTTTGTTTTACTACTTCCCTCATTTGTTATTTAAATAAATGAAGAATAATTTGAAAGTACATCACAATATAAGGACATAAAAACATAGTTGCCAATTTTTCGCTTGATCCTATTAGAATATACATTTAAAATAAAATTCAACAAAAATTAAATTAGGAAACTATGGATGACTACCAGCTTGGCTAATTTCATAAGAAAAAATTATTTATACTTATTCATTCTAAAAATACTGATAATAACAATATTAAAGTCAGGTATAACAATACAAAATTAGGATTTTTAAAATTAAACAAACGAATTTAATGAATAATTTAATAGAAAAAAAATAGAAATGCTTCTTTAGCTTTACGAGAATGTGTGAATAAAATTAAGAAAAAACCTCAAATAGAAATTGAAAAATTATCAGAAGAGGGACAAAACCGTAGATAAAACCGATATATTGCAAAATAATTTTAACAATTCTTAAAGTGACCTGGATCAAAATTACACAAACAAAATAACATATCCAGATGATTTTGACAAACAGTTGGGCACAGTGGAAAGCACTATGTATCTAGACCCTTATTTCTCGAACAGTGAGCGTGCCATAACTCTACGTGAAGGGCGCCAGCAAAATAAATGAAAAAAAAAAAAAAAAAATTAATTCACAAAAAGAAAAGTAAAATGATATTCTTTCTGATATTACAAGTTACAAGTTTACCCTCTGGAGAGTTCTGAAGAGAGGCATGTCTTGTCGTTGCCACCTTCCCATGCTTTGTACTGCTTTTATTTCGCGAGTGCTATGGGCTGCACGGATGGTCGTATTGAAATTTTATACCTGAATAAATACACTTTTTTTTTTTCGAGTCAATAGCTACCCATTTAAGGGAATGTCGAGCACTCAAATTTAGCTGCGAGTGACTGTGCTTAATATTTTGTGTTTTTAAAGCATTTTTTAGGTTTGTATAGGTACTAAAAAAATAAATATTTGATATTATGCAAAGCCAGTTGCGGTATTAGCCAAAGATGTAGTTGTTTTCAGGAGGGAAATGGTCGCTTCGCTCATTGTTTCTGTGACACGATCATGAGTTTTGGCCACATTTGAGAATTGCAATTTATTTCCTTTAAATAAATATTTATTTAAAAAATTAAAGAAAATTAATAAAAAAATTTGATACGGTAGGCAACCTAGTTAAATTTATTAATTTTTACTTACTTTTTATGTTAACTACGTTTAATCAAAATAACAGACTTTCCAAGACGGTAATCCTACAAAACAAATTAAAATACTCACTCTTTTATATCGTTGATCAAGCCCTGTTTTTCGGCTATTTCGTCTCTCAATGCGGCTACTTGTTTTTGATGAGCCACTCGCAACTGGTCCATCTGTTGTTCTAGCGCAACTCGGAGTTCATTGGCCTCTTTCTTTTCGCTTTCACTCGCACTTTGCACCTGTTCGGCGGCCTTCAATTTGGCGCATTCTTCTCTTAAAGAATCGATGCTTTCCTCGAGCATTCTCTTCTTGTTTTCGGCTTCTCTCATCGATTCTTGGAGGCTCTTCATTCTGGCTTCGTGTTGGGATATTAATAATCGACATTCGGCCAATTCTTTTTCGTATTCAGTGACTTTTTTGTTGCTGTCTTGTTCCTTGTTCTCTATATCTTGAAGCCTTTGAGTTAGGCTGGTAACTTCGCTTTTCATTCGCGAGATGTACAGTCTCGCCACCTGTTGGATGAATTATTTAAATTAATTTCGTATGTTATGCAGTAAAAATCAAATCTCACCGTAAATTCTTCTTCCAACTTAGCGACATCGTTAGATATTTTTATTTCCTGTCCTTCACCTCCTCCTCCTCCACCACCACCACCACCGAGGGTACTTCCAATCTCGCCTAACTCTTTGAGCAGATTGCTGAGCATTTCGGCGATTCTCTTTTTTTGGTGGCTGCTCAAATCTCGCAATTGCTGGAGCTCGGTCGTCGTTGAATTTAAGCTGGTCTGCTTCTGCATGAGCTCCTCCGACAGCGATTCCATCTCCTTGTTCTTACCTTCAACTTCTTGGCTTTTCTGGTCGTAGTTGACAGCAAGTTCTTCAAGGGCTTGAAGGACTTCCTTCACTTCCTCTTTGGCGCTCTCATTTTCCTGCTGTATCCTGTAAGAAGAAAACGCAAAGGTGTAATAAAACAAACAAATAAATAAAAAAAAACTAACCTGTTCATCTCAGCTTGCAGGGCTTCGTAATCACGTCTCGTGCTTGCTATTAGTTCGTCTTGCTCAAGCATTTGCTCTTTGAGCTTTTCGACATACTGACTCTGCTGATTGATCTCCTCGTCCTTTTCGTCCAATTGTTGGTACAATCTTTCCCTTTCTAATTCCAGTTTGTTTCGCTCCTCCAAACCCAATGTAGAACCTATCATTAAAGCAGGAGTGGCTGGGAGAGGCCCAGATGGTTTTTCCGCGATGACGCTTTCTTCCATAACAGATACCGGAGTGACTGCGTCCGAGAGCTCTTTGAGGTTAATCTGTTCTTCAGGGTTGACCTACGAAGGTTATTTTTAAATATTTGAATGGCTATAAAAGTTGTGGCTAGAAAAAATCAGACCGGTCGTTTTTCAGACAAATGGATCACGAGAATATTACGTGACATCTCGTTTCTTTCTATTAATAGCATCGCTTAATTGATCCGTGGCCTTCGTTAGAAGCGAATCTTATATCTGTGCTCCACCGGAAGAATGTTCATGTGAACAAGGAGAGTAACGTGTCAATGTCAAATTCGTTGTGAAACTCGAAAAATATGCCAGAGAAATGTATTCTTTATTGAAAGAAGGCTATGCAGACTCAGGTTATTTTGAGTGATCAACAAAGGACGAAAAGTGACTGCAGACGATCTTGCACCTCAAAAACAGACATAAACATTGATAAGATCAGTATTTTTACATAAAAAACGTTACTTCTAGCTGACTGTATTGTTAAATGTCTTCTTATATATTATTCTTACTTGCGAACATGACCAACTCTAATAAATGCAACAGAGTTGCCAGATTAATTTTAAATACGAGTATATGAGTACAAATTAAACACATCCTAATTATCGGATCTCGTCTCATTAAATTAAGGTCAAATCAGCAATCAGCAGTGAAAGGAACCAAATTCGAGATAGAAGAGCTGTCAAAGAAAAAATAAGATGTTTTCAAAAATGATTAACAGCACTGCTAGTAACAATAAAAAATTCGGATGGAGCAGTATAAGGATCATGGAAAAAAGTATATTGAAGTTGATAATGTTAAAATTGTAAAAGAAAAGTAATATACAACTATATAATCCTTTTTTTTTCTAGCCACACCTCACAGTAGTGATATTTTTTAAATAGTATATAAGAACGTTGTAACCGTTTGTAATTATTCTATTGGTTGCTTATAATTGCGAATAATAAACAATTTTAGTATTTTAGTACAAAGGATCACCCACTTTTCTTATGCAAACGGGAGTACCGTCAAATTGTCTGAATTCTTGATAAGTTAAATTATCTGATGTACCCATCAAAAGTGTCCATGGGCCCAATCCTATCTTATGACTAGATTTTGAGATACAGGGTGTGGAAGTTAGAAATCCCTATTTCTTTAAAATGGACACTATAAATCACCCTTAATTATTTTTGGAAGTTATTCGCTTATTCTGTGTAGTTAAAATACATACTATAATTAAAATATTGTCCCTTACAGGGTGATTAATGATTCGGCAGATCTTTTTAGGTCAAAGTAGGTATTTCCACCTCCTATCTTTTTAACAAAACAAACGAAAAAGCTAGTACTTTTTCTGCAATTGGAAAATCGTGTTTTTCCAAAAATTATTTATAGTGGCTGCAACCAAATTGTACTATTGACAAAAACTTCAATGTGTCTCGTTTATGAACGCCGTAAGTATAGCGTTCTGAAATCGTTTAATTGGCCCCTAACTACAGTTACAGATTTTCCGTATGCGCATTGATAAATGCAGACATTGTTACCAATAAAATACACTTACTGTTTCACCATTTCTCCACCGATTTAGTTCTTCTTCAAGTTTTTCCAATTTTCCTTTCAGTCTAGCAACTTTTTCCTTCTCTCTTTCATACCGTCTCTTCCATTCCTCGGCAGTAAGTTCCTCATTGACGCAAACGACATTCTTCACGGTCTTGGCTCTAAAAAAAAGTTTGGAAGAAACAGTACATTTATGATTACTTCTGACGTTATATTAAGCAACAAGTGCAAAAAACTAACCTTTTACCGAACTCTAGGGTCGACTTCGTTTCGGATTCATTAAAGCTGGCGGGAGAGCAACAGATGACAATTGTCGTTCTTGCATTTCCACCCAAAGATTCTTGCAGGATTCTCGTAAGCTTCGAATCTCGGTAAGGAATGTGAGATTTATTTCCGTCCGCTAGCGCGCTGATGACGTTACCCAAAGCCGATAGGGACTTGTTTATGTTTTTGGCCTCATCCAAAACAGTTCCTAATAAAAATAATAATTCATGCTAGAAAGTTTCGACATCAATAATAAGTATAATCTATAAATCAGCTGAAAAGACGATTGAAGTCACTAAAAACCATCAAGGTCCACTTTTGGTCTATATGAAAATTTGGATAGCTCTGTCTGGACAGAACGACAGTGAAATCCGATTAAAACTGTCAGACTCCACATATATTCGCTTATCCTGATAATAGTTGATCTACGTTATAGTAAGGTTAGGATTTGTCATATGTATGAAGATTATGAGAGATAAGAACGTTATCAACATGGAGGGGGATAACAGGTCCAGTACCTAAAAATGTCGGACAAAAACGTTATACCATAAAAACTGATTTTCTAATATGTTTAACTGGATAACATAATATTCTCCAATCAACAATTGCCCAACATTTTTTGCGAGGTTGATGTCTGCCAGACATTTTCAAGGTATGTCGAAAAATGTCTGCACTACTTTTTGTTTAAATCTCAAAAAAAATGTATTCTTGATAAAAGAATAAACTCCATATAACATCTTTATGTAAGGTGAAAAAAATATTAAGTTGGATCAAAAGTAAAGATTTTTGTTAGAATCCAATCATAGTTTTCTGGATGGTGAACTGTGATTCTATTCTATTCTATTCTATTCTTTATTAATCCATTTAAACAGTTATAATGTTATTGGACACGTCAGAATTATAAATATAAAGGTGTATACAATAAATAAAAGTAATTAAACAAAACAATACAGACAAATGATAATGATAATGATTTTAAACAAGTTTTTCATGTAACATATCCCCCCATCAAAGCACTGAGCTCTTACGTAATCAGCTCAAAAATGGTCTGGAGATGACTAGAAAAAATGAATGAGCTAGGCGAAGAAAATACAGTTACTCTCGCAAGAAAAGGACCTCAAACATCCTGTGTAGGATCTGAGCCGTTTTGCGACATCAGCATTTGTTCTTTTGAAGGAGCTATTTGTTTATTTAATTCTTGAAATAAAATATTTGATTTTATGTAAAAATCGACACCACCCCCTATCACAACGAATGAAATTATATCCCCTAATCAACAAATGAGCAAGTAGAATATATGAACTCAATCGAATTTCCTGTATACCAACTACATCAAAACATTCCTTCAACAAAATATCCTTAAAAACAGCGAAATGTAAAGTTAAAGATCTAATGTTTATAACTATCAATTACATTTTTCAGATAGAGGAAAATAATGAAGAAAACAAATTTGAATTTTTACAACAAAATATACATACAGGATTGTCCATTTATCGTCAGGAATTCACCAGCTAACAGTTTGCCCAGAAATAAAGGTACTTTTTCCAATAATCTATGATCCAATTTTGCTTTATTTTTGATGTACAGCGTTGAGGTTTTCAAAGACGTGCAATTTTTTTTTTTTTTTTTTTTTCGAAAACAAAGTAAGATAGGTACGTAAAAATGTAAGTTACAAAAAAATTGTATTTTTAGTTCATTTAAAAAAAATTAATGAAAGTGCCCGAAAGAAACCATCTCATAAAGTTGTCAACAAATTGTGAAAATTTCAATAAAATCGAATAAAGCCCTTTTTTCGGTATTAACAAAAAAACTATTAAAAATAAAACACCCTATATCAAAAAGGAAACAAAATTGGACCTTATTTTATCGGACAAATTACCTTTGTTATTCGATAAATTATTGGCTGGTAAAATCCTAATGATATAAACTAAACCACCCTTTATAAAACTAAGCAAAAAATATAATTAAGAATTAAAAAAACCATCTGAAAATTAAATGTAACAAATGAGTTTAGTCAGTTTAAGCTAAATAAAATATTTAAATAAGGATAACTTTCTGATCGTAGCAGAATTTTATATGAATAGAAATTTTCCTTGGTTTATTCATGTTTTTAATTTTCTATTTCTAATGCTGTGCTAAACAATGGAAAATGTTTATATAAAATATTTAAATATCAGTGAGAAAAAAACATTTAATTTTATCATATTATTATACTCTTGATAAAGAATTTACAAAAAAACTGATATATTTATAATGGCTAGTACAACAAAAAATAACTAAAGACTAGAATGAAGATATATATAATGCTACACTCTTCACAATTTAACAAACCCCCTGAACCTCCATCTTCAATTAGATTTATTCAGGATCAATAGACTTCAGCCTCTTATAAAGCTTGATTTTCAAGTGGATATAGTTTTTTGTTTCTGATTTCAACCTCCCTGATCTCCCCATTTTTATTTATTTATTTATTCATTCTCTTATAGAGCTTGATTTTTACTAAACATTTCATGTTGATATAGCTTTTGGTTTTTAATTTCTATTTTTTTTTTTTTTTTTTTATTTCAACCCTCACTTGACCACCATTTTATTCAGATTTTGCTTAAATCAATAGGCTTTGTCCCCTAATAGAGCTGGATTTTGCCAAAAATTTCAAGTTGATAGATATTATTGTTCGTTTTTGAGTTTTTTTTTTTTTAATATTTCAATCGCCTTAATCCCCCATTTTTATTAAAAATTTCAAATTAATTTCACTTTTCGTGTTGATTTTTTTTTTTTTTTTAATTTCAACCCACATGTTTAATCAGATTTTTATTTCTCTCGATAAGGGGAAAGTATTGTAATCGTGAAAAGTCACCTTCCGAGATTATTTCAGATTTTCACGTTTTAAGGTCCCTAGATTAAGAAAAACAAGTTTCCCCAGAGAGTATTCACAAAGTATAATGTTTATTCAAGAGCAAAAATTTTTCCATCTAGGCTCCAGACATTTTGACGACCAAATCTTAACCCTACTGATTTAGATAATTTCAAATTGGATTTAGAAGTATCTTCTTAATTTAATAGAACAGAAAGATATGAAAATGAAAAATGAACTTAAAGTGGCCCAGGATCATCCACAAAGGAAAAAATAATGCCCATGTCCTTAAAAATACTAAGAAAACAATCTTCATGATAGGAAAAGCTGAAAATATTTTTCTGGAAAGCACATTTGGGATCGATATGGAATGAAATTCTTTCGGATGTTTTTATATGCAGGGAAAATTAAAAAAATTAGAAACATCAAATGAGTCATCCAAAAACTTACAATTATTAAGTTGTGATAATTATGGCGACATAATAATAATAATACTCTCCCTAATTCACCCCCTTACGAGTGAATTTCAACCCCTGAAGTCTACTGAACGACTTGTGTAGGAGAAGGGACGGCTATTATTATTATTTGCCGTGGCGCTCCGGGGCGACTTAAAGATGATTGATGGTGCCATTTGACTTACAGATGAGGAAAACCCGGAAAACCTCACCCACCATCATCGAGACGGTAATGTATGGCGAATTTTTTTAATCTGCATGTCATATCAACAGAAATTGAATTTCTATTAATACGCCACACATCAAATCCTAAACCGAACCATGCAATTTAATTAAAAATCCACATGGTCTGGTCTGGGATTCGAAACCCAGCAGTCTCAGACCCATAAACTTGCCTATAAATGAATATAAGCGCGATAGACGCTACACCACCGTCCCGATAAACATGTTTAAATGTTTAATATTTTTCTCTTAAACTTACCTTCGGCTCCAGTTTTAGATACTTTTTCAGATCCAGCCAAATCCACTAAGTATAATTTTCCGGATAACTTCTTTTGGTTCTCCAAATTTTCTTGTTTAACATTGATCAAAAAAACCGAGTGAGACCTAGATGAATGTTCATTCATATCTAAAAAAAAAAAAAAAATTGAATATTTTGTTTAAAATAAAAAATAATGTATATATTACTTGTAACAGCTATGTGTCGATTAGATTTGCCCTCTTCTATTGACTCGAATACTTCTTCGGGACTTGATACGAACCTTTCCGTAGCCCCTTTTACGAAAGGTACCCGATTTTTATCTTCGTGTACACTTAAATTTACTTTCGAAACTTAAAGAATAAAATATCATTAATATAAAAAAAATCCTCGATATTATATATTTATATTTACCATCTAATAGATCTCTAATTTTGTCCATGTATATTTCAAAATAAGATACTTTAATGTGGAATTCTAAGTTTTCTTCCATGGCGTAAATGTGATTGAATATATCGTTTACGATTCTTGGAATTATTCCTTGTTTTTGAGGATCTCCTAAAAATTAAAATCTATATTTTAAACAGTTAATGTATTGCATGATACAAAAAATTTCAGAGCTATGATACCTAGCCGACGAAATATCATCAAGTTCGCGCTTGCGTAATTACTCAATTAGGTAATCCAAATCACATGACTTTAAATGGTGGACCCTTGGCAAAATAACAAAAGTACGCGCTTCCCTTGACAAAAACACTTCTAGTGAGGTTATTAGTCTATGTTTGTATTATTTTTTTAAAGTGGTGTGTTTAGTTGAAAAATTACATAATTTAATATTTATTTGTAATCCCTTAAATCCCTCTCTGCTTTATTTAGACCTCTTACGGTCTTTACTTTTTCAGATTACCAAGAATATGCAATGAAATAAGTAATAATAATATTACTCTCCCTAATTCATTCCGTTACGAGTGAATTTCAACTCTGAAGTCGACTAAGCGACTTGTGCAGGGGAAGGGGCGCCTATTTTTATTATTATTTGTCGTGGCACTCCGGGGCGACTTAAAGATGATTGATGGTGCCATTTGACTTACAGGTGAAGAATACCCCGAATGCATGGCGATTTTATTGATCTGCCTAAAAATTAATATAAGCGCGTAAGACCGCTACGCCACCGACCCGAAGCACCCCTAGATTATATTAGATTTAAAAGGAGTTGGACATTATTTGTCCTTGTTCACCGCGACCTTTTCAGATCTATTGTGGAACTCCACGTGTAATTGCATGTGTCTGGCTTTTTTCGCCTAATGTTAAAAATCTCAATGTTGCTTCTTCGGTTGTATTGTTGACACTCATGTGCCCTTTTAGGCGACAGTGTCCTGTAAGAAGACCTACTGTTATCCTAATAAAATATGTCTAGAATTTTCTGAAGAAATCAATAATTAAAAAATATACAGGGTGTTGCATTTAAAATAAGAAAGTTGGTAATGACACACACTGTATTACCGAATTTATTTCATTTGGCTGTTACACAGTTAGACCTTCAGTTTATAGATAGATTTTGTGGTTTAAAGAAAAATTATCAATATAAATAAGTAGTATACGAGTAAAAGTGTTTGAGATATAAATAGTATTAAATAAAAATAAATTGGTTTTAAAATAAATGAGTGAATTTAGTGAATATAAATTAAATTAATAAGCTGTTTATAAAAAAATACAACATAATTAATTGTTCAAATCAAATATGATTTTGATATATTAAAACAACATTGTTAAAGAGTTTATTATCACAAGTTAATCCACATTCCAATGACTAGTTTGTTAATATTATTACTACCTTCTGCTGATTTTTTTTAATAAAACTTTACGAATGTTAGTACTCACCTTAGAGACTTTACAAATTATTACTAATAGTTTTGTGAACATAGTTTAAAAAGGATTCAGTATAAATTTTGACATGGGAAATGCCACATTAAAATTTCGAAATTTCATTTTGTCTGTAGAGAGCATCCAAATGAATAATTTTAATTTTTTTCAGCCTAAACGGACTTATACTGATTTAATAGATCAAAAACATCTATTTTTTAAAATATTTTTACCCTATATCATCATATTCTCCTAAAAAAATCGACTTATGACATTTAAGTGCCGGCCACAGAGATGTAAAATAATAAATATCTTCTGTTTATTAAAATAATGTAAATGATACTGCTTTTCTTATACCACATCAACTTTGAAATCACGAAAATAGCACGTTAGCTTTTTTTATAGTGGTTCTTTGCCAGTAGCCCTATTTTTTCACTTTTTACTTTCCTATCTGTATACAGATATAAGGAAAGTATAGGAATCATGATTTTTTTCGACCTCGAGTTTTCGACGGATTTTTACGTTTTGAGGTCCCCTGAATCCGTTTTGACTATTTTCGCGATGATGTCTGTGTGTGTGTGTCTGTATGTCGCATAACTCATGAACCAATACACAGAAAAACACCAAATTTTAAACTTAAGCTTTATTCCAGCGTCTAATGAACTGATTAGATTTTGGGCAGAGTCGGAACATCTGGGGGGTACTTTATAGGTGGTAATTTTTATATTTTATGGAATATATGTTATTTACGTTTGGAGAAGAAAATTCTTCAAATAAAAGTAACTTCTAATATAATTATCTATAATTTTTGTTCCATACAAAATTTTTCTAAAATGGTCCTTATTCGAGAAATTTGACAAAATGTAAAAAAATATTTTTTATAAAAATTGTTCAAATAAAAGTTGTTTGTAATATAATTCTCTATAATTTTTATTCTATACATAATTTCTCTTAAATGGACCGTATTCGAGATATTTGAGAAAATGTGTAAATTTCGAATTTTGAAGAAAACTCAAAAACGGATAAAGAAAAAACATTAAATTTTAAACTTAAGGTTTATTTCGGCCTGACGTGAAATGCTTAGATCTTGGACAAAGTCGGAACATCTAGGGGGGTACTTTATGGGAGGACGGTTTTATATTTTATGGAATATATCTGTTATTTATGTTTGGAGAAGAAAATTGTTCAAATAAAAGTTACTTCTAATATTATTATCTATAATTTGTGTTTTATGTCAAAATTTCCTGAAATGGTCCGTATTCGAGAAATTTGACAAAACGTGCAAAATTCTGATTTTTATGAAAATTGTTGAACTAAAAGTTCGATATTGATCTCTATAATTTTTGTTTACACATGATTTTTCTGAAATGGACCGTAATGGAAAAGTGCTAAATTTAAATTTTTCAGTATTTTCGTTTTCAATGAATATCTATAGAAAAATGTTTCGAGGTAGATGTAAGTGGACAATGTATATATTTAGTTTATCCTCTAAACATTTATAGAGATGCTGCAATAGGTTATACAAAATAACCGGAGAAAGCCTATAATAACTAGATAGGAAAGTCATGTGTTGGACACCTCAGATTTTTATGTAAATTATTCAAAATTTAAGGTTTAATAAAAGGTAGGTTGCCTGCATCTTGTGCACCTAACAGTTTAGTTGATGGATATTTAACATTTTCTTGAAACCAAATAAGTCGCGATATTATGTACATGTAAAGTTCTTAATCTTGTTAAGGAATTACAATAATTGCCTAAAATTGCAGTAATAAAATTGATCTCATTCAGAAAAAAAACTAGTCATAAAAACTTGGATTAATTCGTGGTTTGTGAAAATAAATTTGTTAACACGTTGTTTTAATATTATCAAAGTCCTACTTGATTTCACCGATTAATTATATTCACTTTATAGGAAGTTTTGCAAAAAACTGCAATTTTTGTATACTTCTACTTTATATAACTTTTTACTCTCCGTGTATGTGATCTCAGAAATATATATTTTTGTTGTTTTTGTTTGGGACACAATACGATTTACAGGGTTTGTGAAATAGCTACATTCACTGAACCAACTTCTTGGCTCACCCTGTATACAGGTATTTTTTTAGACACACTTGTATTAACAATCTATACTAAGTGACATAGAAAACAGAACACCCAGTATTAATGAATTTATTACAAAGAATTTCTAGGAATATGTTTGTTTAAGTTAGAATAAAAAACGATCAGTTTTTCAGCCATATCGATAGAGTGGTTTTTGTGTTATCGTTCTGTTCTCACAAAAAAGTAAGACGCGATAATTGTGTTTTGTAGCTACAATTCGCATTTGATCGTCGTACAATACTTTGTGAAGAGCTTTTTTGATTTGTTTATCATGCCTAGAGTGAGAAGACGAGAAAATTTTCTACAGCTTAGCGAGTTTGATAGGGGGCGAATAGTGGGCTTACGCGAGGCTGGTTTGTCCTTCAGAGAAATAGCCACGAGGATGCACGGTGGTGGTTTGTTGTCGGGTATGGAATCAAGAAGGCCGTACACGAAGAGCTAGAGGTACAGGACGTGTCAGAAGAACGGCCCCACTCCAAGATCGCCGCCTTAGGCTTTTGGCTCTACGGGACCGCTTCACGTCCACAAGGTCAATTGCTGACCAATGGTTTGCAGAACATGGCAGGCCAATAACAATGCGAACTGTTTATCGCCGTATCAGAAGTTTCGGACTTACGTCATACCGTCCTCAGTTTGTCCTACCTCTCACTCCTAGGCACCGAAGTGATCGACTGGCTTGGTGCAGAGAATGGCTGAACTGGGACCATGAATGGAATACCATTGTCTTTAGTGATGAATCCAGATTCTGTTTGGGCATGCATGATGGACGTGCAAGGGTGAGAAGGCGGCGTGGTGAAAGACGAGATCCTCAATTTTTCGTGGAAAGGCATGTGCACCACACTGTCGGTATTATGGTATGGGGGGCCATTACTTATGGAAGTAGGTCACCTTTGGTATTCATCAGAGGCAATATGACCGTCGTGCGTTACATCCAGGAGGTGGTGGAACCACATGTTCTGCCTTATATTCGGACGCTCCCCAACCCACTTTTCCAACAAGATAATGTACGACCACATGTAGCCAGAATTACGTTGGCCCATTTTGAAGAAAATCAAGTCGATTTGTTGCCTTGGCCCCCTAGATCTCCCGATCTTTCACCCATAGAACACGTCTGGGACATTATGGGAAGAAGATTACTCCATTTACCCCATCCTCCTCAGACTCTAGCGGCACTTCAGCATGAAGTACAAGTTGCCTGGGATGAGATACCTCAAGAGGAAATCGACCATCTTATTAGGAGTATGCCCCGACGTGTTTCTGAGTGCATAAGACATCGTGGATGACCAACACACTATTAATTTTTTACTTTTTTCCAACGGTTGGATTTTTCTTACATTTTGATCAATTACTTAACTAACCCAAAGACACATGTATACTAAAAATTATTGTAATAAATTCATTAATACTGGGTGTTCTGTTTTCTATGTCACTTAGTATATTTACTACCAATAGTACAAGCATTAAACGATTTTTTAAACATTGATTTTTTTTTAGTTAATTTAAAAATTACTAACCACGTACAGATGTTTTCCAAAAAGCTTGGTATTGTATTTTGGTAGTCACAAATATCTTAGCAAGTCAAACTATATCTTTTACGTTTATAAAGTACTTTTGAAAATTATGATAAGTTCAACTACCCTGTATCTGAAAAACTAGTCATAGGAGAACTTTGTGTCTATCTCTCTGTATCTGTAATGTGTAGAGGGTGGGTTACCCCACGGCACTTAGGCCTCATTAGGCCCATTGTGCATCCTCCTGAGAAGATATGCACCTCCCAGCTCGTGAGCCAGCCTACAGATTTAATGTAGATAACAACGTCGCCAAGAGGTGCGTCGAGAAATCGTAAAGGATATGCTCGATGGTCTCAACTTCTTGTTCGCACCCTCTGCAGAGTGCGGATTCTGACAGCCCCATGATATAGAGATGCTTTCGTACTTGGCAATGACCAGTCAAAATGCCTGAACTTTGTGTCGATACTCTTTTAATTAGGAGGTCAAAACCTGTGCCATTGATATATAAAATTCATTAGATTCGACCGAAAACCATTTAACATAATGCTCAGCATAAGAAAACTGTGGAATCCTTTTAAAAATTGCAATTTTTAATTCCAAACCATTAATTACTTTACACCCTAAGCTGTGTCATGTAGGAATGACTTGTGTTAACCAGTAAAAAATATGAACTGATTTATGACAATACTTTCGTACATACCGCTGTGAAGCAGCTGTAAAGTCCAATTACAATAAGAAGAATACCCCTACATCATAACCACTATTTCGAATTTAAAATTCATTAATAAAGAATAAGTGAGTTATTTAATTTTAGTAAAAGAATTACTATATTAACTATAGAAATAATATAGAAGACCAATATAAATATAACATTTAAGCAGAAATTGTGTGCATAAAAACACGTCTCTGTGCCTGACATCGCAAAATAGTGTGTCTAGAAGCATTCGCAGTATGCATGACTTGTCCCTGTAGTGTTACCAAGTATATTAAACATACCTAACACAAAAGAATTTCAAATTTATTTATTTTTAAATTATATGATTTAAACAGTTTATATCTACGAAATATCGCCACAAAATAACTTATGAACATTTAAATAATCAACTAATAATATTTATGTGTAATTACAATCCCAAAAGTATGTACAAATACGGTATTAATGTTCAACAAGCGATTCACCTTCAAATTCAATATTGACCTGGCAATACCACTTAAATCCAGAGTTTCAAGGCTATATGACGCTGCCCTACAGGACCGTTTGTGATATTTTGGCTTGAATTTATGGTTTATTATTTAATTACACGGTGAAAGTGGCAATTTATTTTTAGTTTTGTGTAGTACTAAGTTAAAAGGTACAATAAAAGACATTTTTACATTGGCTAATGAAAATGTAATCAATATATTTAGCAGCTGTTATATTTATTACAAGACTTTTGTCTGGAAATCTAAACCTACCTAAGAATTATAATTATTTAAAAAGAGAGCTGTATATTTATAACTGGGCAACCTAGCGACGAGGAGACATTATCGGTATCTGACAAAACAATGAATGATAAAAATAGTAAACAGGTTATGATCTTTCCATCTAAAATATTCTGACAGTTGTTATTTCCGTTTTATTTTAAATGAGATGACACTTCTATTATTCGATACCGATGAAACAAGAAATGTTGCTTATTTGGAATATATACCTTTACCGAACGCTCATGACGTCAGAGACCGTGTTTCAGTCGGGTATAATTCAAAATTTGAAAATGAACCAAATTGTACCTTTACCTAACATTTATGGCATCACTGGCCGACTTGGCATTTGGTATATTTTCAAATGTAGAAACTGAAAATTATCCCTATTAAATTGTACCTTTACCTAACATTTGTGACGTCACTGGCAGAGTTGGCATGGGGTATACTTTCAAATACAGGTTTCAAGGCATTTTAAAACATAAACCCGATCTCAACGAATTTAGGAACTGTTCTGTCACTCGATACTTTAATTGAAGAGCAGACATGCAAAACGCAGTTTGTCCAAAATTGTAAATTTTCAGGAATGGCAAAAAACTGGTGCTTGGAAACGGCCTTAGTTACGGAGTTGCGATTTGCAGTAAGAAATCAAGGAAAAATAGCATAAGTAATTGCTAGATTTGTAGACTGGAAAGAATTGAAATAGCTTTATTATTAAAGAAAAATAGTCGGACAAAATGCTATTTGCATGTCTCTAGTAGACAAAGAGCGTTTTGGTTGTTTCTTGAACAGATTTTTGGGCATTTTAATCTAATAAAATTAAACAAAAACGAGTTCTCAATTAACAACCCATTTATTTTATGTGTATGGAACTTTTGGAGAAAGTTGCAAAATAAACACACAATACTCGCAAATACTTCGAAACACGCGTTAACAGCTATTATGTTATGAAAACAATGTATTTACGGCTGGACTAAACGCCGTTTGCATGTACTATGGACAAAATGCTTCTTGTTTATCTAATCTTGATGGACTAAATGCATTTTGCATGTCCAAGTTGTTTTCACAACACATTTTAAGCAGGATATAATGCGATTTGTACATCCAAGATTTTATGAAACGATAACTATTCAATTCAAAATTGTATCGCCATCTATAGTTAAAAAACTGAAATTTCGGACAAACTGCGTTTTGCAAGTCTGCTCCTCAATTGTTACTTCCTCTTCGCTTTTTGGCTGGCACAGCAATTATTTACATTTCTTTATTCCTTACCGCATGCAAACCAGTACGGTTTAAATAAATTTTAAAAAACCTACTTTAAAAATGAAGATGTTAATGATTGATAATGTTATGATCCTATCTTCAGATCATGACTAAATGTATATGGAACTATTCCTTTTCTAACAAAAAGAGAATCATAGAAATCGGGCAATGTGGTAAAGAATTATTGCTCTACATAAAATATTTCAACGAATTGAGAATATCCTCGCATATGTTAAAAAAAATTGTTAATAAAGTGCAAAGTAGGGCGTGAACATATATTATAAAGTATATAAAATTATAGATAAAGCCAGTTTAAAAAGTTTTCTAAATAAACAGTGGAAATATCGAGAATCTCGATTTTGAATCGGAGGAAGAGTATTCTATGCAATTTAGAATGAAAGCTGATCAAAATGAAACACATGAACGACACGCTAATGTTATTGACGACTTTCTTCAAACGTTTTCTAGCTTTCCGAAAGTGTGTTAAGATACAAAATGCTTCGTATTGGCCAACATATATTTAGAAATCAAAAGAGTTATATAAACAAAAAAATCATTATAAATGAGATAACTACCAAATTAATGATTTACAAGTTTATTCTTATTATCTATAAAATAGGTTTGCAATATACTGATGTGCAATGTTATCATCGACTAAAAACTTTAAATCTTTGTATTAAATTGATCGAAAACAATCCATAAATTGGTTTAGACCATATAGAATGTTTCTAGTAAGCAGTGACTAACTTTTATTATGGAACCGAAAGACCCTTTTAAAAGGGTTCAAAATTAAAATAAAATATGTACCAAGTAAATGTAGTAGTATTTTTTAATTTTGAATCTTGAAAAATGCAGACATATTTGGATAATTTATATTGAAAATGGTAACATGAAAGGTTTTCTGTCTAATTGTAAGTAACGACTCATATAGTCTCGGCTGACAAAATAATAAAAAAAAAATATCGAACATAATATTCCTGGACGAAACGCAACTGCCCCCTATTTTGCACTCCCCAGATTAAATTTACTTGTAGCAAATGATACTAAATCAAATAAGATGTCAGGTCACAAGCAACATCTCGTGACTATAGCACTAATGATTGCCGAAAATTAACTAATTCATATTTTATGCCATATCTTTCTTAATAAGAACCTTCAGAACAATATTTACCTTACTTGAATTTTTTTCAACGTTTTTTATATAGAATCATCTCTAAAACCTGAAACATCGTGTGATCTATTTGTTCGATCATTAAAAAACTTGCACCGGTCCTGTCCCAGCCAGCACCGTTATGCGCATGAGCCGCGACACACTATTTTCTCCTTATGGTTTCATTTTTGATACATGGAATTGGCTTTTTATACTATTTCTATGATATTAACATGCCACTAAACCATCAGTAGGCACCAACGAATTAGTCCGCAAGCCGATAACGCAGCTGTGTTCTTATTGTAATCAGACTCTACTGTTCTCTAATATCTAATGGTATATTTTTTTTTATATAGTAGAATTTTCTACTTTGCTCAGGCATGTCGATTAATCTAAGATTTCTAAATATTATACAATTTATATATAAAAAACTTACCTAAAACACCCTCCATGGTATGAGTTTTCCCTGATGAAGTTTGACCATAAGCAAATATGGTCCCATTAAAACCAGATAATACATCAGTAACAATGCTTTTAGCCGCTTCATTATAAACTTTCTCTTGAGTTGCATTGGGTTTAAAAACTTTGTCAAATAAATATACTTTTCCCTAAAAACAACAATTGTCATGTCACACAAAACATTTTTAACTTAAATTTAGTTGAAATGTCCGACATAGTTTTAAGAAAAAAATCACAAATAAATAATAGCTACATCTTAAAAGTACGAAGTTAAAATAAATGTACCAAAATATTAAAAAAAGTATCAGTTTCCGTATTATTAATACGAGGGTTGCCTTTTATTTTTCGGGATTGGACAACCCTAGTGGTGCAAACTGGCAACAAACAGCTCTGTCGTAAAGTTTGAAATTTTTGAGGTCATACATGCTCAGAACGTTTTGACATACGAGCGCGTCTTAGCCAAAAAAAATGGAATTAAATCGTGAACATTTTCGAGCGATTATTTTTTACAACTTTCGACGTGGATTAACTCAGCAACAGTGCATCGATGAACTTAATTCAATTTTTGGCAAAGAAGCTCCATCAAGGACTAGTGTTTATCAATGGTATGGTGAATTCAATCAAGGTCGTAGTTCGCTCCAAGACGAATTTTATGAAGGTCGTCCAAAATCATTTGCTGTTCCGAAATCTATTGATGCTGTGAGCGAACTGATATTAAAAGATCGTCATGTGACCTATCGTGAGATTGAGACAACCTTAGGCATTAGTGGGAGCAGCATACATTCAATATTGCATGAACATTTGACCGTCAAAAAAATTTGTTCGCGTTGGATCCCACACAATTTGTCAATTGTTAAAAAAAGGCTCGTGTCGATTGGTCAAAAAAGAAATGCTCAAAAAATACGATCGAGGTGCTTCGAAACACGTCTAAGACATGGTAACAGGTGACGAATCATAGATTTACGCGTTTAAGCCCGAAAGTAAACAGCAGTCGACTGTTTGGGTGTTTCAAGATGAGCCAAATCCAACAAAAGTTGTTCGCGCACGAAGCACTTCCAAGCAAATGTTCGCCTGTTTTTTCAGAAAAACTGGACATGTCGCAACCGCAGAACAGTCAATTCTGAGTGGTACACAACCATTTGTTTGCCAGTAGTCTTTCAAGAAATGAGGAAATCCAAACGCCGAAGACGGAACACTCTTCACCACGACAATGTGAGCTCTCACACATCGGCTCTAACAACTGCATTTTTGAGCACTCAAAACGTCGATGTGATGAGTCATCCGCCGTATAGTTCTGACTTGGCACCGAATGCCTTCTTTTTATTCCTGTACGTAAAGAATACACTGAGAGGTCAACGTTTTTCGACACCTGAAGAAGTGGCTGATGTGTTCAGAATTCATGTTTTGGAGATACCTCAGAGTGGCAAACGTGCGTCGACAATTGGTTCAAACGCATATAGAAGTGTATATTTTAAAAAACAATAAAACTCAAGGTGAACTCAATGGAGGTAAAAAATAATTCCATGCGGTCACTGCTAGGTAGCCACTATACTAGGATAAATAAAAATAAAACACTTATCTCCTTTACACCTCGTACCCTACGGTACCCTGAAAGAGAACGGTTAAGAACCAGCAATAAGAGAAACACAGGAATAGGTAATAAAATATATATTTACAAAAAAATAAATACAACAGTAATTAAATATGAACGGCTCCCTGTATCCGGAAAATTTATGAAAAATAAATTATTGCAATTGATAACTATTTAAATATTGACGGATCCCTATATCCGGAAAATTTACGAAAAATAAATTATTGTAATTGAAAACTATTTAAATATTGACGGATCCCTAAGTCCGGAAAATTTATGAAAAATAAATTATTACAATTGAAAATTATTTAAATATTGACGGATCCCTAAATCCGGAAAAGTTATGAAAAATTTATTACAATTGAAAATTATATAGGGAAATGTTTATGGTTCATTAGCGTGGGAGGCTAATCGGTCTGGGAATTATGGAACGCCCAGTATACGGAAAATTTAATTATTGACGGATCCCTATATCCGAAAAATTTATGAAAAATAAATTATTACAATTGAAAACAATTTAAATATTGAGAAATAATTACGGTTCGCCAGCACAGGAGGCCAAGCGGTCCGGGAATTATGGAACTCCCTATATACGGAACATTTATTAAAAATAAATTAATACACTTGAAAACAATTTAAATATGACGGTAATCAAATGCAAGCAAATAAATGAAATCAAAGTTGTCGGAACCCCCTCGTATCTTAATAACAAAGCGATGGGAAGCGAACATTTTCGTCTAGTGATAAATATGGTTATTTATGCGGGGTTTAGGATGGCGGACACGACGATCGTAGAAAATAATATTTTGAATTTTGCCCAGAGTCGATCGAGAGCGTGGGTAAATTTAATTTTACAGAAGTCGTCTGGCTTCATTCAATAACTAATTGCGGACGGGGAACGGAATGATTCAAATACAGCTGAATAAAAAATTAAAAGAAAAGAAATTTTTACACGAAGTGGGGCGTGGAAATGAATTTAAACGTCTTTTGGGAAATTAGATACGTCATTAGAAGAGAGAGTACTCTAATCCGGGAACGGATCGAACCTCCGAACAAAGAAAATAAAACAATAAAATAATAGAAAAAAAATTGAAAACAGGTCGAACTTCTCACTTCGATGTTAACTGGGCGGTTTTTAAGAGAAATTGGATATAGTCGTTGACAAAGAGAGAACTCAGAGTCTAGCCTACGTCCAGCCTCAAATAAAAAAAAAATGCCAACGGTTTCCCACTGAGGGATGAAATGAAATATCTTGGATATGAATCTAAATTTTTCACTTGTACGGGTGTCCCAACTAATTATATAAAAGCCAATATAAAAAATAATATACGGTTCCTACCTTAGCAGATAAACGGGGTTAATCAATTAACTTTTTCGAAATCACGACACTCACGGAGCATTAACTAGGCACTATCTAAGGGCGAATAGTTTTCGGCTGTCGGCAATCAAGAGAGTAGAGCTTACTGCGGCCGGCAAGCAAGAAGGGGGCGTAATCCCCAGATGTTATTTAATTTATGCTTTTTCGCTGTGACAAGATGGAAGACCGGTAAGCCCGAGTGGGGGATACCACCACTACAACCGACTGTTTACAATTTAGAAATATAAAAAATGTCCTTCTAGTACCTTGACAAATAAAGGTAGATAATCGGTACGAAATCGACTCTACAAAATACCCATTCGGATTTCGGCAAATATAGGAATATTTTAATCTACGAGGGTACTCGCAATTGTTGAAAAACGGCAATTTCTGGGAAACAGAAATACCTTCTACATGTGCTCAGGCGGGAATTAATTGAAATAAATTTTTTTTAAATTAATTGAGAGCAAAATTTAGTGACTTCGTCACAACATATGTATTTTAAATCCAACGAATATTTTTCTTTAGTTAGTAAACATACCCCCTTAACAAAATGTTTGCCTTAAGTCTAGGATCTCTGCCTCTTTATAAAGAGCATTCGAAGAGTAAGTTCTATTTTTCTGAAGTATTATTTCAAAAAATAATTTTTGGACTACTTCTAGCTTTTTTAGATGAGTATATGTTACTCCTCCCCATCCTACAATTCCATAGGAGAGGCGAGAATCAACCAATGCATAATATAGTGTTTTAAGAAGAGGTAAGTCCAAAATTTTTGTTAAAAATTTGAATTTACCTAGTAATGACCTAAGAGTGTTTGTAACACTAGTAATATGATAGTCCTAACGGAGGTGGTTGTCAATAGTTATTCCTAAATACTTTACTTTATCTGTTTGTTTAATATTTATTAAGTTACCATGATTGTTGATTGCTAGCTTGTAATTAGGAAGATTATTTTTATAGCTTGTTATAGGTAGAAACATAGTTTTATCGAAGTTTATTGTAAGCAATTTGTAATTAAACCAATCTATAATATTACTTATATCTTTTTCAGTTTTTTGTTTCAGACCATTCCAGGTGTTTGCAGTATAAAAGATGACACTATCATCAGCAAAGCTTGTTATCTCCAGAAGTTGTAAGTGTAAGTAGATTATTAATGTATATTGTAAAGAGAATGGGACCAAGAAATGTCCCTTGAGGAACGCCACATTGAACAATCCTTTCCGAACTTATACTATTATCTATTTTAACACATTGTTTTCTTCCTATTAGATAAGATTCGAACAGTTTTTGTGCAACTCCTCGTATTCCCACATCCTGCAAAGAATCCAACAGCTGCGAGTGGTCCACAGTATCGAACGCCTATTGTTATACTAGGTTCTTTCGTTCGCTATTGGTGTAGTGTCCACCAGTGTAAATTACACCAGTTACACCACCTTATTTACCCTAATTTACTTCCTCCTTATTCCTTATACACATCGTCGAGTGTAATTCACTCCTGCTAAATAGCTGGTGGAGAAAATATCCACCAGTGTACACCACATCGCCGACAGGAAGGTATATTGGGTTTTACACCGGACCAAACGAAAGGTATGGGTGTGGGTTGGTGTAGTTCATTACTACACCCAACTACACCAGTGGGACGAACGAAAGAACCTAATGTGTACAAATAAACTTTTCATTTAGTAATATGAATATATCTCATATTTGGCAGTGGCTACTGTGCCATACTAACGGAACTTAAGTCAATATTTTGCTTCTAAAATTATATTAAGTTATAAATGTGATATTTGTTCTGAAGTTTACTGCAATGAGTAAGTGTTTACCAATAACTACTACAGAAGAAATATGTATGAAAAGCAAAAAAGTTCTAAAAATTTTCTGTGTTGAATGTGATAACAAAAAACAATGGATCTAGCAATAAAACTGTTCAGTGTGCTATTTTCAATTTTAGCGTTCTCTAGCGGGATTAAATCTGTGATGTATTGTAAAGTATGACACTTCAATTGAAAGCTAATTTCATTAGTAATTTAATAAGTAACATAAATTTGTTACTTTGGTTGATTGATTAAAGTTAAATTGATTTAATCCTGACATTAAAGGCAACATTGTTATGATTATTTAAGTTATGTTTCATTAAATTATGTTCTGTTATGTTGTGCATTAAATTACTAATAAAAATCAAATGAAGTGTCACACTTTATAATATGTAACACTTTTTTTATCTCGCTAGAGGGCGCTAAAATCAAAAGTATCACAATAAACAGTCATATTTCTGAATTACCCATAAAATTATCTTTTCAATGATGTGTAATACTTTGTACTTTCCCTATTTAAAAATTGTATTGGTTACTGTGATCAAGAGGATGGGAATAACATATTATGACATTTGAGAATATGATAAAAAGGTGTTGGAAAAAATCTACTGTTTTTAAGCAATTTTTGATATTATTTTTTATTATGAGATATTATTGTCAATGGTAAGTTTTTAAATTGACACCCTGTTTAGTAGAATTTGAATTTAATACAAAAATATTTGCGCTTTGAAAATTCCAGTAGTGACTACTATTTCTATGGTCCTGACTTGTTTCTTTCTGTCAGAATCTGTTCTCAACAGCTCACCCCAAAAAAAATTGAGATACAAAAAATATTTTGTTATATTAAAAGTACCTAATGCAGAAGGTAAATTGGTGATTCAAGCTAATCAAAATTTTAACAATAAATAATTATAGTTTCTTAAAAACTCATTAATTTTCTCCAATTATTTAGTCTCTTGGTATTTTAATGAATTTGTAGCCATTCTTCACTATTAAAAAGTTTTTTTATTGGAGTTATCAAAATAAATATAATTTTTTTTATAGTGTCAAATCGTCGTATTGGTGGTGAAAAGAGCTAAGCCACATTTTTAGGCAAAATTAGTCAATTATATCACATAAATAAAACAACTCTCAAAAATACAGTGATGAAGAGAGATAAGTAATTTTGTAATGATAACCTTAAAATCCCACAAACTGAAAGAAGCTAAGTGAAAATACATATATCTCTTTCAGTGGTAAAGCATTTTTAGGGGAAATACATTTTTTCTTTTGTTTTTAAATCAGTCTTATAAAGAAGGATGTGTTTTCATTTGTACAAAATTTTATCATTTTTAGTACTTAAATAACTCAAGTTTTAAATCAAAAGTTGTTTTAACCTAAGAGTTTCAAACTTATTTACCCATTTTCTCCAATTAACAAGTGGCTTAGCTCTTTTCACCACCAATACGACGAAATTTTATATCCTTATATTTCAACTTAATAGTCATTTTCTTATCTTTCTTCCCCCCTTACAGATGCTAAGGTACACAAATCTTGACATCAACTAATGCTGCATTTGAATATCCACATCAGATGCATCTGATATACTGTCAATTTTTTATCATGTGATAGAGAATTAGATCTGAAACTTTTGAGACTACAAATCAACCTAAATTTGAAATCTAAACAAAAATTAAACAAACCAATCACTTTTATATTCATGCTAGCATAAACAAAGGATAAATTGACAAACTTGACTTCACAGAACACATACTTTCTGGCATGGAATGAACATCTCATTCACATCTCATTTAAGGCGTAAGGTCAGCAATGTACAGAAAATGCAGACAATGGCTCTGAAATGTACACCACTGGATAGGAAATGCTGGCAATAATTGAGAAAAGTCACAAATGTTTTAGAAATGCCAGAACATTGTTTAGGAAATACAGCAAACATTGCCACTGACGCATGGTCCTGTAAAACCTCGCAAGTCTACCAAGATTCTAAGCCTCCTCTAGAGAACTGTTGTATTTAAAAATGCCTAGGTACCTTATGTTATGTTGAAAATGGGGTGTTAATACACTGCGACCTAAAAGAGCCTAGGTACCTTATAAAGATAGAAAGAAATGTTTTACATGTCTCTTGTAAAATCACTCTGATCCAGGCTTAGAAGGTTTTGATAGTTAGCTGAAAATGTAACATGTCTCTTAATTTTGATTAATCTTGAAATGATCTACTTATTGTTTTACCTACTCACATTTACAACTTATAATATAATTTTAATAGGTAATTAGATGACACACAGCTGCAATAATTTTAAGTTGTGTCTAATTAAATCAATATTGGAAACAGTTGCTGTTATCTGATATATCTTCAGTAATGTGTTGTGATTACTCACCAGAAATGATACCTACATCCTACCTTTCTTAGTAGGTAGCCACATTTTTATAATAACGGAATTAATCACATCTATTGTAATTGCAATCGTGAAAGTATTCATAAGTTTAATATAACCGTGATGAAAGTTGAGTGGGTCCCGCGACAGTACGTCTAGATGTCCGGCATAATAAAAAAATCTACTTACGAGGTCATCACTAGTAATAAAGTGATAATACTCACCGCTATAGAAATGCAATTTTCTTCGCCACCCTGTGGAAACTTAACTACAAACTTCGACCCAGCCTTCTCTTCCGAATCATTTAGAGGTCGAAATCGACAAACTACTCTAATACTGTCTTCAGCAGGTATTTCCCTATCCACGGACATTTTGCTATTGTTACTTACAGACGTGGTTACTCACAGCACTAAGATTATTTTATTTAATTCATTTCCTATTAGGATTGCTTCTCTAATCTAATTTTTTTCTACTTGATATTTATAATAAGAAATCACATAACAAATGGGCATTTTTTACTTTGCTCATATTTCTTTCACTGTCTTAAAAAAAATCTAATAAAATGATTGATTTTTGTGCAGTGACGAGTGACTCAAATCAGTTTCACTTTAAATAGAGACGAATTATGCGCATCCCATATGTAGAAAAGAGAAAGAAAATGTACTTCATTAATTAAAAGTGTACTAGATTCTAGATTCCATCGATAGTTCAGCAATTAGATTAGGCATTCGAAACAAAATGGCTGTCAGTGGGTTTTGACAGATTATGATGTGGTTATGATTAATGAACTGCAGTCTGCAGTGGGATTCTCATATTTCAATTCGTACGTGTTGAGACGCCTATCTTTGTTTGACAGAATGCGATTCTAATGTAATGTCTCTCTCTATTCAACACATAACGTGTTGAGTTCACATTAAAAGAATCCCTGTCCTGGGGCTCGATTCTCGAGTTCTTGGAAAATTTCCCCATGGGAAAAGATTCCACTACTTATATTCCCATATGGTAATAGGTTATGCAATTCTCGAACTTGTCGGAATAGACATTCCCATGGAAATAGTAGTTTTACGTATGGATATTAAGTCTACGAATATTTTGAGACAACCAATAACATTAAAGATATTTTAAAATTTACTGTTGGCATTATTTGTATTTGTTGTGGTCTTTGGGTAACCGATTACCTGCCGAGCCTCCGCGCTGGAGCAGGAGCCGTGCCGAGCAATCGCTAGCATGACCGAGGAACGAATGTTTATATATCTGTTTGTAACCTACCGCACCCAGGTACCTTAATAATTTATTAATTCCATTTGTTTAATATAATATTGCATTCTTATTAAATTTAAAATTCTTCATTTAATGAAAAATCTTCCAGATAATTAAATCTTATTTACGACACCTAATAAATAATATCTATAACCACGTTCGTAAAATATCCAAATTTCGTGCACGTGTCTCCGAGAACCTAGACCAAGAAAACACCATAAAACATATTTCTTTTCACGAAGTAATTATCATTAAAACACTTAACTTGCTTATCTTGCTAGTTTCGATGTTAAGACCGATTTCGACAATATTTCGATACACAACGCTTTCAAGACAAGTAATAAATAACCCACCCCCTTTTGGGCCCACATTTGTATTTTCGATGAGAACTAAAACGATAGAGACGTCACAAAAGCTATTAAAACTTTATTATAAAAAGCCAGACCCAAATGAGCTCTGATTCATTCATTTTTAATTATTTGATGTGCATGCATTCATTTTATTATTTGATGTCAAGCATTCATTTATTATTTGTATCCAGTTATATTTCAAGTTCAGTAGTCAGTACCTTTCCTAAAACGCTCTTCCTAAACGACGTCTATCCTACAATACCCACTATCCCCGACGGTGTCAACGTCTCGACGCCCAACGTCCTACTCCCTACGTCTCGAACGCTGTCACATTCCTCACCATCTAAGTATTTCCTACCGCACACTCATTTCGACGCTCAACGTCCCACGCCTTATTTCCGACGCTTGCCGCCCCTAAATATTTCCTTCATATTATCACGTCCCGCACCACCTACATAATTCTACCGTATATATGTCCCAATACAGTACCGTATTAAATACCTTCCTTTTCACCACGACGCTAGGCGCCTCGACGCTCAACGCTGCGACGTACCTAAATCGACGCTGTTACAACGCTAGATGAAATTAGTACATAATCTAATGTCTGTATTTTCAATGGTGAGTCAAAAGATTTATGTAACTTTCTTGAGATACCACCGGGGTTTCATTTGCTACAAAATATTATCAATTTAACGAATAAATCACATGGCCTTCAGGTCATACACCCCAAAAGACAGGATAGACATCTGTTTCGATGGGTGAATTTTTGAGTATTTCAATAGAAATTATAATAATATTAAGAAATATATAGGGTTGTATTAAATAATTTAAATAGTAATTATAATAATCAATATAAAAAAATATACAGGGTTGTATTAAGTTAACTCAATAGAAATTATAAAAATCAATATTTTAGAAATATACAGGGATGTCCTATCTTGGATAAATTGTACAAACCAAGACGAACGAAATCTACAAAATGTATAATACGAAATTTTGGTTTTGCAGCTCTTTATGAAGTCTTTGTAAATATTCTTCATACTTGCATTTAAATATCTTTTCTGTTTTTCTTTAATCCCTTTCTTGTTATGGTTTCTTTTTTAACAGGACATAATCTGGAATTTTGGTCACTAAGATAGAAGGACTTCACCATTTTTCCAACGTTTTCTCCTTTTTTTATCTTGTGTTTTTCGTATTTCAAGTCTTTAGACCGGCGTTTGTTGCTTCTAAAGAACTTGTATGGTAAAAAACTTTGTGTTTCATTAAGCAGATGGTATTTCTTTAAAATCCTGCCTCCAATTACCTTTGTAAAAATTTGTTTGGAAGACTGTGTTCTTAAAGATTTAAAATTAGTTGATAGTTCCTTTCGCATAACCTCCCCAAACAAAATTTTCTTCTTTACTTCTGGAGGGACATGATGACCTTTCAAAATGTTTTTTACTCTCGTATTTGGCGACGGTGTAATACTGCATTTTTTTCTCTCTCTCCATTTGGTTCTTTCTTTTTTCTTCTAAACGATAAAACCTCTTTTTCCAGGCCTCTATTCTTCTTTTCAGTTCCTTATTTTCGGCTTCGACGGATTCTAGTTGCTTGTAACATCTAGCCCGGTCTCTGCGAACCGCTAACCTGCCACGAGTTTTTTGTCTGGAGGTGTTACTTCCTGCTTCGCTAAAGCTAGAGTTGACTGATTTAGGTGTGCTTGTTAAACATTCACGAATATTCTGGCGAGAACTGCATTCTGCTTCATTAGAACTACAACTTGCGGATGCAGGCACACTCGTCACAATATTTATTTCGAAATTTCCCAGTTGTTCAGGTGGATCGTTCTTTGCATCTGATACAGGTGGAGTATTTTCCGTAACCTTCCTAAACATGCGAACTTTGTTTCGATGTTTCTTTTGTGTTTCTACCCATTGTTTTTTTAACTTTGTGTTCTCGTCGTTAAAGATCTTTCACAAGTTTAACAACTCGTTTCTGCTTGTTGCTTTAATATTTTTCGTGATCCTTTATACGTTGTTGTTCTCGATTTACTGGATCATTTCTTATTTTTTCCCGTCTTCTTCTTTCACATTCCCTCTTCTATTTTCTTCGCTCCTCAAGCGAAGTATTTTTTCTCTCCATCACAGTTCTGTAGAAAATAGATCACTGAGAAATGAGTAGATGTACTGTGACAGGCTTCTGGTTCACCCACAGTGAATCAGCGAGTCTGTGTGGCGCTATGAAGGTGATTCCCGAATAGGGGTTGCTCAGGCGCCAGTTTTGGTATCGCAGTGTGCTCTGCGACCCTGTGGTACACCAGAGTGTACTCAAGGTGAACTCAGTGGAGGTAAAAATATTTCCAGGCGGTCACTGCTAGGTAGCCATTATACTAGAATAAATAAAAGTAAAACACTTCTCCTTTACACCTCGTACCCTGAAAGAGAACGGTTAAGAACCAGTAATAAGAGAAACACAGGAATAAGTAATAAAATATATATTTACAAAAAAAAAATAATACAACGGTAATTAAATATGAACGGCTCCCTGTATTTGGAAAATCTTATTAAAAATAAATTATTACACTTGAAAACTAATTAAATATTAACGGCTCCCTATATTCGGAAAATTTACTAAAAATAAATTATTAGAACTGAAAACTATTTAAATATTGACGGATCCCTATATCCGGAAAATTTATGAAAAATAAATTAATGCAATTGAAAACTATTTAAATATTGACGGATCCCTATATCCGGAAAATTTACGAAAAATAAACTATTGCAATTGAAAACTATTTAAATATTGACGGAACCCTATATCCGGAAAATTTACGAAAAATAAATTATTGCAATTGAAAACTATCTAAATGTAGGAAAATGTGTATGGTTCATTGGCGCAGGAAGCTAAGCGGTCTGGGAATTATGAAACTCCCTGTATACGGAACATTTATTAAAAATAAATTAATACACTCGAAAACAATTTAAATATTGAGAAATAATTACGGTTCGCTAGCACAGGAGGCCAAGCGGTCCGGGAATCATAAAACTCCCTATAAATGGAAGGTATGTTTTTTTCAAAATCCCAAAATTAAAATAAATATTCTGGTCAAAATTAATTAAAACGATTAATTAAAATTTTTGTTTTTAACAAACGGCTACCAACTGGGAAGCTAATAAAAATAAAAGAGAAACGGGTAGTTACGACTCTCCCGGTATGCGGAAAATTTATTAAAAATAAAGTTTGCTGTTATCACCATTAACCCACTTTCAATTTACGTTCAGGAAAGGAAAACCTCCTATACAATGAAACCAAGTTGTCGGAACCCCCTCGTATCTTAACTCCGAACGATGGGAAGCGAAAATTTTCGTCTAGTGATAAATATGGTTATTTATGCGGGGTTTAGGACGGCGGACACGGCGATCGTAGAAAATAATATTTTGAATTTTGCCCAGAGTCGATCGAGAGCGTGTGTGAATTTAATTTTACAGAAGTCGTCTGGCTTCATTCAATAACTAATCGTGGACGGGGAACGGAATGATTCAAATACAGCTGAATAAAAAATTAAAAGAAAAGAAATTTTTACACGAAGCGAGGAGCGGAAATTAATTTAAACGACTTTTGGGAAATTAGATAACGTCATCAGGAGAGAGAGCACTCTAATCCGGGAACGGATCGCACCTCCGAAAACAAAACTATAAAATAATAGAAAAAAAAATTGATAACAGGTCGAACCTCTCACTTCGATGTTAACTGGGCGGTTTTTAAAAGACATTGGATATAGTCGTTGACAAAAAGAGCACTCGGGAGTCTAGCCTATGTCCAGCCTCAAATAAAATTTGCCAACAGTTTCCCACTGAGGGATGAAATAATATATCCTGGATATGAATAAAAATTTTTCACTTGTCGCACGGGTGTCCCAACTAATTATATAAAAGCCAATATAAAAAATAATATATGGTTCCTACCTTAGCAGATAAACGGGGTTAATCAATGAACTTTTCCGAAATTACGGCACTCACGGAGCATTCACTAGGTACTATCTAAGGGCGAATTGTTTTCGGCTCTCGGCAATCAAGAGAGAGTAGAGCTTAGGGCGGCCGGCAAGCAAGAGGGCGTAATTCTCAGATGTCACTGAATTTGTGCTTTTCGGTAAAGCCGAGTGGGGATACCACTACTACAACCGACTGTTTACAATTTAAAAATAAAAAAAATGTCCTTCTAGTACCTTGACAAATAAAGGTAGATAATCGATACGAAATCGACTCTACAAAATGCCCATTCGGATTTCGGCAAATAAAGGAATATTTTAACCTACGAGGGTACTCGCAATTGTTGAAAAACGGCAATTTCTGGGAAACAGAAATACGGGGGATCTTCTACATGTCCTCAGGCGGGAATTAATTGAAATAAACAATTTTTAAATTAATTGAGAGCAAAATTTAGTGACTTCGTCACAGTTGGTCATTAACATGGACAGTGATCATTCACGTGGACAAGCAATGTCCATGTTAATGATATTTTTCTCTGTCCACGTTAATGACAAGAATGCCATTTTTAGTAAAAAATCTAATTAGACTAAATAAATATAAAAAAATTTAAGATGAATCTATAACAACATTCCCTCAAGCTACTTCAACTACATATTTTTTTAAAATGAAACTAGCAGTATAAAATACTTACATGAGGCAGGTTAATGACACCTATTAAACATAACCTCCGAATATTTGGCAAACCTTCACTCACACTGGCTTCCTCAAAACTAATAGTTCAAAGAGTTATCCTGAACCTAAATAGTATTTGTTTTAACGGCTATTTACCAATGTTGTCATGGTTCTAATTCTTTCCTTGACATTGAGATGCAGTGAATTTATGAAGTCCATGTTAATGACAGAAAATGCCAGGGACAAATTTTAATTTTTGATAAAATATTAACTATCTCTAGCTTTACGCTAAAAAGTGATTATGTAGTTATATAAAGCTTCATCTACGAGACGCACGTTTAAAAAATATTAAATACTATTTTTCTTGCTTAAATCAATTTTGATTCACTGGACTCCTTCAAAGGACAGTCCATGTTAGTGACAGTTTTCACTAAAAAAAAAAAATAACTATAACAGATAGAAAATTAATTAGTGGTGCTTCAATAGAGGTCGAGAGATGTGTATATGCTCCCATGCAAAAATATTTGAAGCTTTGGTTATTTAGGCTGAAAATCATAAGGGACACTGAAATTGTCCCTATTCTGAGAATATCTCATATAATTTAATTTTTTTTAATATGTTCTGTTTTGTCATAAGTACCTATATACCTACCTACAAAAAACCAATTTAATAAAAATACTGTGCTGTTCACAAATAAGTATAGTCAACATTTTGAGATTGAAATATATATAATCCAGAACATAAAATATTTGATAATCAGTAAGTATTTACATTTTTTAGTAAGGTTTAAATTTTCTAGCTTGCTTCATAAGCTGGACTTTTTGTTTAGCCTCTTCAAATTTTTTTCTTAGATCAACAATGTTCTTCATTTTTGACTCTCTTATTTGGAATGTGTAAAAATTCTTTAATTCCTTCTTCTTGGTTGCCTTTTGTGACTTATCATTTAATTTATTTTCCAAACTTTCTTTTCTAGACAAACCTGGCCTTCTACCCGTTTTTGTTACCAGTGTCCATCCTTCTTCATCTTCTAATGTTTCTTCTTTTTGATTTTGATTTCCTTCATCATATTTTGCCATAAATGTATTTATTTCCTCTTGTAATTCTTCTGGATTACAAATACCTTTATTATATTCTTCTATCCATTTCTCTAGACCAACTTTTACTGGTCTAATATCTGAAGAAATGGGATTTAACTTTTGCAATTTTAAGGCCTTTAATAGAGACTCTCGATTATTAAACACTATAAAAGCACGTTTAAATCCATCACCTCTCTGATCTTCTGCAGTGTCTTCTAAGATTATTCGTTTTATTTTTCCTACATTAGAAAAAGCGTTTTTTAAACCTGCCTCTGTTGCATATGGAGGTATATTTAAGACAAATAAAGTCAGCCCGGAAGGTTTTTGTTCATCATGAGTTCGCACTGTATGTTCTTTTATAAAAACATTATGACAACTTGTACAATTTGCGGAAAACATCAATGGAAAAACTAAAAATAAAAATATATGTAGAACAGGCCATTAATAAATAATTTTTAAATACTTTTAAATCCTTGAATGCTTTCGGAAGTCATTTTTTATAAAAATTGTAATAAAATATAAAATAACATTAAACATAACCCAACTTTTCACTACGTTCACGTTGCACACAAAACACAAAACAACAGACAAACCGTAATTTTACTAATTTTAGGGATGCGCATGATGTATCGATGTTTAAAAAACATCGATTTTTCGGTTTCGATTATCGATGTTTTTTTATCCGATGTTATTAGTTATAGCAGGAGCACAGTTTATCGCTAAAGAATCAGTTCACTCACTCTGCGTCGGCACTTTTGATCTCAATGTTCCAGTTTATACACTGCGCAACTCGGATTTGTATCCCTGGCGCATACAGAATCAAATCATAAGCAATACAATATATGACAACCGCCTATATTCAAATAGCAGTCTTCTGCGCATCCTGAATTTGTATCCCTGGAGTGGATATTATTTTGGAACATTCAACTGGTCAAAGTGAGCTAACTGATTCTTTAGCTATAAACTGTGACAGGGGCAGAAGTTGGAAAGGCTTTTCCCTGTTCTCCCCACTGAACTCTATACCGTTACTTTGGCCATAGAAGAAAGTATTGTTCTTTATCCTGTGCTTTGGCGATAACTCTCTAATAGAGAGTTATCGCCACTCATCACTTTAAGAATACGGTAACCATATTCCTTACCGTATTCAGACTAAGATCCAAACAAAAATGAGTGTTATCGCAAATGTCAATTTAGGGTGAGATTACAGAACGTCTGCAACTTTGCAGATCTGCAAATATGGCGGACTTACATGTGCATGTATCAAGTTTTCGTATTCCAAAAAAGTTCTGCAAACTCGCAATATTTATTATAGTTTATTATCCCCAACAATACTAAACCCAAATCCATTATTATGTTTAAAAACTCGATAATCTGACACCATGAACTGTATTCAATCAAAAGAAACAGAAGACTTCATGGTTGTAGGATGTTATTCTAACCTTTTTAAGGGTGGATTTGGATTTAGTGTTGTTAGGGGTAATAAATATTGCGAATTTTTTATTGTATGGATCAGACAATAACAATGTCAAATAGAAAATAGTTATTATAAATACTCCCGAGTCAGATGAAAAATAACCTGTCTGCGCCCATAGAGTCGCATCTCAAGCCTATTGACAAGCATTTTACCCCACTCCAGTTCATTGCACCATCCGTACACTGACTGAATCTTTTTAAAAACAATTCCTGAGAATATGTACCTAGACCTCGTCAAAACAAACCGCCTTTGAGACATGTGTCTCTCTCATGCTTTTTTTACTAAACCTCTATCCCCTCTTTATCTATCTCAGCATTGTATTGTAAATGGCAGAGACAACCAAATAGATTCTTTATTTATTTGGGGATATAAAATCGTACGTCTATGGTTTAAGTAAAATCGATTTACATAATCGAGACAAATTTATCGATTCTTGATAATTTTGATTCAGTCAACACTGTCAACAGTCAAACTCTCATGTCAATTTTGGTTTTTCTTTTCTGTAATATTTACATTTTACATCTGATATCATTACTTGACCTTTATTATTGAGAATCCAAAATCCAAATCATTGTTTTGTCAGAGTTGTAATTAATCACCTGATGTTAAAATCGTACAGTGTTCACAGAAGAAACAGTGCGTTGTTATTGATTCTAGATTATTATTCCTTAAAACTAAAGGTCACATGAAAAACACGCATCGTGATTAAGGCCACGTCATTTTAATGTATTTCTAAATAAAAATAGACGGTTCTAGTGATAAAAGAATGGCTTCAAGTACAGAAGAGACTATCAAAGATTCTACTGGCGATGGTGCCCAAAATCCAGAGACGAAAGAAGATGAAAAAAAGGATGATTCTATGTTCGAGTGCAATATTTGTTTAGATACTGCCAGAGATGCTGTGGTTAGCATGTGTGGACATCTGTTTTGGTGGGTAAATATTTTTTTACGATTATATTTCACAAGTTATGTATACATTAAAAATGGTACCTCAAAAGGTGAAAATAGTTATATTGCAAAACGACTCCATTTACCTACTTAACTTTCAAATTTGTTGTGTTGAATTATTTTATTTTGCAATGGAAGTATTAGCTAATTTACATTGTATTTATCTTAATTATCATTAATTACCCAATGATTATTCTATAAGTAGGTACCTACTCATATTGATAAGCAAAATGTTTGAACCTTAGCAAGTGACATACTATCATTACAATTTTGTATTCAATTCTTGCACTTAAATCACGCTTGAGATGTCACTGCTAGATTTGAGAGAGTAACAATCATGAAATACACCTGACAATAATAATTTAATGTCAACTAGCCAATATGATGCAACAAAATATAATTTAACCTGTTAATGATCAATGATGACCAATTCTTAATTCTAAAATTTTAATTTTGACCAGGGTAATATATAAATTGGTGCATGCGGTTCATGCAAAAAGAAGTGAAGCTAGGTTTACCACAGATCATGTGACCCAAATCTGGTCAAATTTAAAAACGTTTGGTTTGTATTTTATTTCCAAAAATAAACAGTCATTTTTGTTCCAAATGAAACATAACATTCTAAGTAACCCAAATATTCAAATATTTACAATTGTTATGACTTAGAGAAACAATCTAAATTACATTTTAAAAATAATAGGAATTTAAATTGTCTTGGCTAATACCCCATCACACTGTTTCTTTAAATTTATTTTTAACCGACTTTAAAAAAGGAGGAGGTTATCAATTCGTCGCGATATTTTTTTTTTTTTTTTATGTATGTTCAGCGATAATTCTTTAACACGGTGTCCGATTTCAATAATTCTTTTTTTGTTAGAAAGGGGCTACTTCAGGGGTGGTCCCATATAAATTTGGTCAAAATCTAAAAATTGGGTCCATGAGAAAATCCTCAAACTCTTCATTTTTTATGTATGTTTAGCGATAATGCTTGTCCGATTTATATGATTCTTTTTTTGTTAGAAAGGGGGTACCTCAGGGGTGATCCCATATAAATTTGGTTAAGATGTTGTGATGGCATCTGCACGTTTTTGAAGTCGGTTTTTTTAAATTTTTAATTTACACTTGTAACACCCTATAACTCGCTAACTACTAAACCCTTTAGGGTCTATGTTCCTACATCAAAATTCATCAATTAACAAGAGCTTTCTGAAATAGAACATTGTCGGTCGAATAAACTAACACCCTGTATAAATTAACATCGTGAAAATGTTTGTCACAGGAAGTAACTAAAAACAAGTACAAAAGATGTTTATGTAACTATTGTAAGTATATGCGAGGGATGTTAACAAAGTTTAGTATTCATCACATACTTTGATTTTCGTTTACTATACGGAGAATGGTCGCACTGCGCAGCTTTCTGAGTGCCTTTTAAAAGGAGGTAGAAAACTCCGCTATTTTGATCCCTTATTACGTGTTGCCTACATCTTGGCGCAATATTTTTAATAGGTGCGTTTTAATCATCCGCTTCTACTTCGGAATTGTCGGTTTTCTTGTTTTAATCTGACAGGTTAAAACGACTAAACCGACAATTCTGGAAGCAGAAGCGGATAACTAAAACGCACCTGATATTTTGCTTGCTGCTGTCAGTGTCAGTGAATATTATTTTTGGAGTCACAGTTTATTGCTAAAGAATCAGTTAGCTCACTCGGACCAGTTGAAAGTTCCAAAATAACATCCACTCCATGGATACAAATTAAGGACACGCAGAAGACTGCTGTTTTATTATAGGCGGTTGTCATATATTGTATTATCAATAATAAAACTAAGTAAGTATACCATAGTAAAAAGTTTGTTGATATAGTAAGCAAATGAAGTAATCTTGTAGTTGACAGGTCTAGAAATGCATATGTTCACAACACTCTGCACTGATGTCTAGAAATGCATATGTTCACAACACTCTGTACTGATGTCAAGAATTTGAATTTGACACATGACATGTTGTCAAATCTCCACTTTCATTTTGGTGTGCATTGTGAAGTAGTCTTTGTTATTGTCATGTATTTTCTTAGGCTATTTTTGTTTTTATTAATATTGTTATTATATTATTATCCTCACTGTGTGCTATTAATTTTTTTAAGTGTCATGATATTGGTGTTTTGCTTATTTAAGTCTTGTAGAAACTTGAAATAAAATAGGTGGCAGAGCTCGAGTGGCTCTGATTTTCATTGTGCCCCACAATTAACTTTTAAATAATGTTTTGTTCTATAAGACAGTTTTGATAGTTTTTAAATTTGAATTTTGTAATGTATTACTATTGAAAGGTATTATTGACATTAAAAATAATGATCGTATTACTTGAACATCTTCAGAACATTTATTTATTTTTATTAAATTTTTAATCAATGTAAAAATTGGTAAATAAATGAAAATAAAATAGTTATTTCAATCTCATTATTCCCTGGTTCCAAATAATTAATTATAACCTGGAAACTATGTAATGATTACAACTGTCGGAACTAGCCAGAACAGGAATGGTGCAGACATGTGCATTTCCAGACCCTTCAACTAGAAGATTACCGTAAATGACAAAGAAGAATTTTTTTATAGAAAAATAATAAGAAAATCCCAACCCAAGATAACTTTTTGTTTCCTAGGGACCCAATAAATTACTCGGTACATTTTAAAACCATGTAGCTGCGTCCCTGTCAGGATCCATAATATTTAGAACATGGCAATAAACCGTGCGAAGTAGGATCATACAGTCTGGACAGAAATTATGTTGTGCAGTATATTGGTGCACATGGTTGTTAACATGTTAACTTTTCTCCAACAGATTTTTAAATTCTTATCACTCTAATTTTATATTCATTGTTCTCTTTCAGTTGGCCCTGTCTCCATCAGTGGTTAGAAACAAGGCCAAACAGGCAAGTCTGTCCAGTATGTAAGGCAGCTATAAGTAAAGAAAAAGTGGTACCACTTTATGGAAGAGGTAGTACTAAGCAAGAAGATCCCAGAGAGAAAGTACCACCAAGACCAGCGGGGCAAAGGACTGAACCAGAACCTGGTACTAATTTTTCAGGTAAATTGGTTTTAAATATTGTTTTATAGTATAATAAATAAAAAAAATATTGCTGCGGTGACCTAGAATAAGTTCAAAATATTTTTATTTAATGTTTAAAATGTAAATTAATTTTAGATAATATTTAATCTACGAATCATTTTTTGAGAATGTTAATATAACCTTTTACTTCAACATAATCAAATGAACCAAGTAATGTCATTCAAACAGATATTTAATCTGGCAACATGGTATTAAAGACGTCTACAATTTTCAATTTTAAAATGCAGGTGTAAGACTATCCAATGAGTGCTATGCTAGTTATATAAACAATGTTAACAGGTCAATTTCAAATAATCCTCTCTAATCCTTTATTCTACTCTCTTACTTTAATTCAATAAATAAAAGTTGCTGTTTGTCAAATATTTTTCTAAAAATTATATAAATAATCATAAATTAAACTCTGATAACTGTCATTTAAGTTTTACCTTCTCAGTTTATATTGAACTCATATGTTTTACCATCGATGATACAGTTATGTACCCGTTTCAAAAGCGAATCAAAGTAGGAAATTAAGAACTTCTGACCAATTTCGATTCAGCCCTTAATTCCAAAATTATTGGAGAAACTGCTAAATAATTGTTTATCTTGATACTACAAAAACTTACTTGTTGATTCGCAACATGTCAGGGATCAGAAACATAAAGATAGGAAACGCAACGACCGCAGCAACGATGGTGTCATCTATGCGTTTCAGATGTTAACTAAAGGTACATGTCGTTTGTAGACAGACAGTAGACGTGGACAGCAGTGGACAGTTTGTAAATATAAATGTCAATTAGTTGTATGTATAAAGTAGAATCTTGAATTTGAATTTTAAATTTTGAGTTCATGATTGTGTTATCCTCTTCATGAACTAAGCAAAATGGTTGTGGTTTTTTTGTGTGTAATTTGAAGACAATAAATATATTTTGTAATATTACAATAAGTCGGAGAACCTATTGCATTAGTAACACATGCCACATGAATAAATGTAACAATCCCAATGTGGCGTTCTTTAAAATACGAAAGTAAGATCTAGTCATGTAAGTAACACAAATAGTAGCCAAATTTTGTCACAAAGTAAGTATTTATTTATTATTTAATATTTTAGAACAAGAAAACGGCTTAGAAAGAAGATTTGATATAGGATGAAAAATATCTGAATTCCCATTATTGAGTTTGCACTCAACATTTTTAAATAATACACCATTGGTCATTCGTTTGGAAAATAACAAAAAGGTTAATGTTACAAATAACAATCAATAATTAACAAATATTTTTCATAAATAGATTTATAATAATTAATCGATAATAGACTGTAAGTGTAGTATTCTAATAAATAATTTAGCGTATATAATTACATTGTTTCAATTTATTTATCAGAACGTGAGAATGCAATCGATATTTATACAACCTTTATTATCATGTTTTTAAATTTCCCGCTGCATTATTTGTTTGATATCGATGAAAGCGCCACATAGTGGGTCAGATGTTAACTGCGTTAAATCTGGTCGTCGTTAAGCATTGGCTTCTTATGAGCGTTTCCTACCTTTTCTCCCTTATCTCTGCAACATGTCTTTACAAAATAAAAATCTACTACAACTAATCTTGTTATCTATCACAATTACATAATAAATTCTGTGGAAAATGGTTTGCAAGTAGATGCCATATACTAGACTTTTCAGCGTTTGATCATGTCAATCACGAATTACAATTACTCCAACTGTAAGCCTACGGATTCCCTCCTTCTCTTCTAGATTGGCTTAAAAGTTTTCTTATTAGTACAATGTAGCATGTCAAAATAAATAATTATTTGTCAGATCGCATTGAAATTTCTTTTAATGTACCACAAGCTCCTTTACTTTTTAATTTATTCATTAATGAGGTTGGATCTGTTTTAGAATATAGTATTAATTATCTGCTGTTTGCTGATAATTTAAACATTTACTTAATTGTTGTATTAAATTAGTTTGCTATCTTTAGACACTTGTAGAATAGTTTATATTGTATATTATGCTCGGTCCATTTTGGAGTACATTTCTGCCATATGTTGTCTATTTTACAATAACTTTGTAAAAAGGATTGAAAATGTCTGAAATAAATATCTACAATATTGTGCCTTTAAATTTGGTCTAGCGTCAAGTACATATCATTATTCCACAATTATAGACTTGTAAAGCTCCCAAACCTTGTAAATCAATTAATCTTGATGGACTTGTCATTCCTGTATAAGATCATAGCTGGAATTGTTTCATCTGATGAGTTGTTATACACGATTGAATTTAGAGTTCAAGAAATAATAGTCTATTTCCAATTCAACTTCACCTCACTAATTATGCGTATCATGTGCCTCTACCTAGACTAATGCGAACAATAAAATTTAGATATCACTGGGTGTTCAATTAGCAAATTTCAGAATGAGGTAAAATAGTAGTTTGTACAACAAGAGTGGATATTTATTTATTTATTTATTTATTTATTTATTTATTTATTTATTTATTTATTTATTTATGTAGCACTTGCAGAATGTAAAACTCCAAATAAAACAGTATATCTAACCTAACACAAACATTTTTTTTTTAATTTGAATTTTTGACTGCGGGAACTGAGTCCATTCGCCAAACCACAACGATTAAATTTTATCTTAGTTCAATATCATATAGTAAGGATAATACGCTCACGTCTAGTTTTACAAATTAATTTTATTTACATTATAATAATAATATAATACAGTATTTACAAGTTCTTAACACAAACAATTGTAGGAGTTAAAAACAATATAAAATAAATTAAAAAAACATATAAAATATTGTAAAGTGTCATGATTGCTTTTGTGTCACTCACGTACCTAGTATGTCTCTTGATGAAGCCAAGCATTCTGAAAGCTTTGCATACTATGGAATCTATATGGTTGTTAAAAGATATTGTGGTATCAAAAGTAATGCCCAGATCAATAACTGTCGATGATCTATCTAGGTTGACGCTGTCAATACTCTAACAGTTAAGAGTACGATTGTGGGATCTTGTAAAATGCATGGTTGTGCACTTAAAATTATTTATAGAAAGAGCGTTATTTTTACACCAGGTAGTAAACCTGTTTAGGTCAGACTGTAATGCGGAGTTATTACCAGTGTTTCTAATAAAAAACTTTAAATCATCCGCGAAAAGAAGGCATTGGTTATTAAGAAAGCAGGACGTAACATCATTAAAGAATAAGGAAAACAATAGGGGATCTATATGTGAACCTTGAGGAACACCGGATAGGACTGAAACGTCACATTATACGGAATTATGCACTATGACACGTTGACACCGATTACTCAAATAAGATTTAATTCAGTAAAAATAAGAACCAGATATACCGATTTCGGAGAGTTTCTTGAGTAGCAATTCATGACAGACACTGTCAAAAGCTTTTGACAGATCGGTCTAGATGGATATGATGGCCATATCGCACGTAGACGAAATTTGAGCACGACGCCTTAGGCGGAGTGCTCAATCGTCTTGAGTGCGATGTGGACAATCCACTTGAGTTGTACAGAATATTTTTTTATGCCCCACTAATGAAAATTTACAAATAAAAAAAATATTTTAGGTTATTAAGACAAAATAACTAATTGTAAAATAATTTATGACTTTTAATAATTTTTAAAATAAAATAAACGAAAAAGAAAAAGTTCATTTTATTTTTCCCCATCCGAGAATCGAACTCGAGTATTCAGTGTGGAAGGCAAGAACGCCAACCACAGGACCACCTATTCTTTTATTTTTGTTGCTTTAGGGTGAGATTACAGAACGTCTGCAACTTTGCAGATCTGCAAATATGGCGGACTTACAAATGCAAGTATTCCAAAAAATATCTGCAAATTCGCAATATTTATTGTGATTTATTACCCTCAAGAACACTAAACCCAAATTTGGAATACGAAAACTTGATACTTGCATGTGTAAGTCAGTCATATTTGCAGATTTTCAAAGTTGCCGCCATATTTGCACCCTAAGGGTGAGATTACAGAACGTCTGCAACTTTGCAGATCTGCAAATATGGCCGCAACTTTGAAAATCTGCAAATATGACTGACTTACACATGCAAGTATCAAGTTTTCGTATTTCAAATTTGGGTTTAGTGTTCTTGAGGGTAATAAACCACAATAAATATTGCGAATTTGCAGATATTTTTTGGAATACTTGCATTTGTAAGTCCGCCATATTTGCAAAGTTGCAGATCTGCAAAGTTGCAGACGTTCTGTAATCTCACTCTTAATAGATGATTTCAACGGAAGACACCTTGAAGTTGCAAGGTCATTGGAAGATCTTTGCGCCATCTATAAGTTTACATAACAACTAATAAAATAATAAAGAAAACTGTAAATTATTATTTTGGCAATCTGTTTAAGGTTACGGCGTCGGTATTCATTTTTTTCCTTTTTTCTTCGTCTTCTTCATTAGTTGTATATGCTGTTTTTCACCATCTCTATCTACTTAGTGCCTGGTAACAGAGTCTTCTCTTTCTTAGTCATGTGTCATGTCAAAATTTGTAAAAACATAAAACAAATTGAGGTTACAATCTCTGGTTTTGTTTTTGAATTATTTTTTTGTATTTATTTTCAAAATACTAGCATAGAAATACAAAAAAAATGATGAAAAGTAAAGTTAAAAGGTAGGTGTGCACCTTTTGTTTGCTACTTTAAATTTCAAAGTGAATAGATGTATTTATCATTGTTTAGCAAGCCATGAAGATCTAGATTTCAGATCTTGGCGACAGTGAGAGTGAAAATTGAGCCCATATAACTAAAGAAGGCAGGAAAAAAAGAAGAAATTTATGCTGACGCCGCCGTAACTTTAGACAGATTGCCAAAATAATAATTTACAGTTTTCGTTTTTATTTTATTAGTTGTTATGTAAACTTATAGATGGCGCAAAGATCTTCCAATGACCTTGCAACTTCAAGATGTCTTCCGTTGAAATCATCTATACTCCTAATTAAATTGACTTCATATAGTTTTATTTAAATTAACACGAAATAAAAACAGAAGTGCTATTATTTATCGATTCTACACAAGAATAACCCATTTTAATGTATGTTTAATCTCAATAACTAAAAAATATACTGAAAATTTGTTTGACAGAATTGTTATTTAAAATTTTAAAAATAATAGCAGTCGGTTGATCAAAATATGAACAGTGATTGGTGGATTCATCTAGAATGGATATGAAATATATTCGTTCAGTTGAAGACAGTAGCATACTTTTTCGTTTTGTAATCTGTGAGTAGATAAGCTAATATTTATGTGGGTGCAGAAATAGTATATTACATTACGAGTGTGGAAAGTGACATTTTTCACAAGAGTGGGAAATAATGTCGCACAAGGCGCAAGCCAAGTGCGACTATCACACGAGTGTGGAAAATCACTTTTCACACAAGTGATGTACAATATTTTTCCTACGACCACAATATATTGTCATCAAAAAAATGTAAAACAAAGGTTATTACTATAATAATTAAAATGTATTTAAAAAAATAATCAACAATAATCGTATTTATTCAATTTTCATATTTTCTAAACAAAAAAAAACTAAAAAAAAAATTAAAAAAAAACAAAAAAATTCTGTCCCGCCAGGATTCGAACGTGGTCGAAAAATGGCAAATTTGATAAGTTCGACGTCCTAACCACCTGAGCTAATAGGCCTTGTGTCAATTGAATGATCTAATCGGTCATGTATTTAACCAGAATAAAGAGCAAACATTATTTTAAAATTATTTTAATAATAATTGTTAAAGATAAATATCTAGGATCTAATTTACAACGATTTCAATAATTTAACAATCATTTCGATTTTAGTATTAATATGGACATTACCTAGATCAAAATAGAAATTAGATGTTTGACATTTTGTGACAACTACTGCGGAAAGTAACATATTCTCACTCGGGTGGAAAGTAAATTCTTATTCATACGCGTGTGATATAGGGCACTTTCCATAGGACTATATAGTGTGATATGTGTCACTTTCCTAAGTGGTCGTAAGAAAAAATATATTTTTAATTTTAATATCTTTGATAGATTTCATTTCATAATTTTAATATTACATTTATTGTACCTTTTATAATGTATTTAAGCTATTTTATGTCATTTATATATGCTAATGGATCTCTCTGTAATGTATTTATTTATATCTAATGGAATTATTAGTCTGAGTTTCCTCTAACCTCCACTGAAACTGCTTATTTACTATATGGATACAAATTCATTAATGAAGGATAGTTTTTACTACGAGTGAAAATAAACCTCTCACAATATATTTAAAATTCGAAAATTTGCCTTTTTCTACAGACAAAATGCACATGCAGTTTTCTTTCTGATTATTATCGAATACTGATTTGTTTTTATTATATTTTAGGTTTTGGTTTTGGCGACAATAGTTTTCATATGTCTTTTGGAATTGGTGCATTCCCATTCGGCTTTTTCACTTCGACATTCAATATAGGAGAACCGAGGCCCCATGCAGCACCTCACGGCACACAGCAACACATGGAAGAACAGTTTTTATCTAAAATATTTCTCTGGCTCGCCATATTGTTCCTAACTTGGCTATTGATGGCTTAGGGTTCCTTAAACAAAAAAATAAAGTCATTTTTTGCGCTTAGAATTTAATTGTAATTTTTGGCATATGTGTTGCGAAGTTAAAAGGTTAATTTTTCTTGAGTAATGGTCAAGATAATTTATTAACAGTGACAGTCAGTAGTTTAATGGTTTTCAAAGAAAAGTTAATGGTTTAAACAAGATACACAGGCCAATTGGAAAATGGAGCCTTGGTTAGTCTAAAACAATGGAAATTCTGTTAATGATATATTTGTGCTTAAAAGTCAAATGACTAACCATGTACTGGTGTAGGGTTCGAAAGTGGAAAGTAAATTAAATTATTTCGAAATTTATGAGATTTCCTAAGCTATGGTTTAAATGTAATCTCAATAAAACTAAAAAAATTTATATGCTTGATTTTGAGTATTTTGCGTACTTATTTACAAAAAGGACTTCGATTAGCATTCAAAATAATGAAATGCATGTCGGAATTGGAATTAAAGTTCTTTGGATCTATGACAAAAACATCGCCCTGTATATAATAATTTGAAGTAAATTTACTACGGTGGGACAGATATAGCTGAAGCCTCCAAGGTCATATGTGAAGTGAATAGAAGAGCGGAACTTTTTTTTTTCCTTTTTTTTTGGAGTGATCACTTAGATCTTAATATGTTGTGCATTTTAAGACATTGTCAAATGCAAGTATCGTAAAAAATCGCGTTTGTTATTTCTGCCGAACTGTACATAAGTAGATTTTATATACACCTTCGGCTTAAATTTTTCTTGGGTATTGCCGATTAACAGGAGGAACTGCGATAGCCTTATAAAGAGCGAGAACGCAGTAAATCCCACTCTACTTGCGTGTCGAAGTCGGCGGATGAGATCAACGCCTTATTTTTGCTTTCTCACTCTTATTCTCGCTTCATATGAATATTTTTCTTTCTGTTGCTCTTTATAGATTTGCTCAATACCCAAGAAAAATTTAAGCCGAACCTGTACATCCATTTACATTCTCAGATTGCCCTTGATAAATATTTTTCAGTCTAGAATTTTTGCTTGTCCTGATAAACGTTCTTTACTTGCGTAGGTTGTTAACGCAATTAGCGTCACTGTTACTTGAAATACCTTTGTAGCTATCAATTAACGTTGACAATATTAACGCCTCACCTTATAAGAAAATGCGAAAATTTTATTGTCTCTTTACAGCCACAGCATTATCAAGTGTTAACTATGATGTATACAATTAGTTAAGGTGTGTTCTTTTATTTAAAGCTGTGACAAACCTCCCTTTTGGGTTCATTAGTGAGCCTACTTTAAAAGCCGATGGATAATATAAATAGTTGTGATGTTTTTTGTTTAACATGATAATTTAGATACAAGCTAACCCATAACTAACAACTTATAAGTTAAAATATAAAATGGCTGCAGAAGATATATTTACTATTCTAATTATAACTGGCTTTATATTAAAGTAATGTCAAACGTCAAATCTTATTTTCAGCTCAAAACCCTTAAACAAGAAATTGACATCAATTATAGATGGAATATTATTGAAGAAAAGAACGCACCTTTATAGCACTATGACAAAAGCTGTCAATTTCGGACCTGTCATTATAAATCTGCAATATACCAATACAATAGAGCTTGAACTATGCGAGGATGGTCCTAAGCTGTAAAATAATCAAATTATAGCCCTAGGACCATACATTGCAATTTTATGGTTTTGTAGGGTTATAAAGTTTGTAACTTCATTAAGTAAATTGTAAATATGTATAGCCTGACATGATGGGTTAATTTTCAGTCTGTTTTGTTAATATGTAAAAAAATGTTGACCTGTCTTGTAACGAAGTGAACAATAAAGAAAATCAGAACCTGGATGTGATTTTTCAGGATACATTGTTTTTGTGATTATAAATAGAAATAAATTAAATGTTGATATTTATTGTTTTTTATTATTAATGTCTTTTATGGATTGATGTGGAGGAAAGTAAAAACGTGAAACTCCAGCAGAAGCCATTTGTTGATGCATGTCTTTTCTCAAACTTTTTCGGCGACGGAACCTTTTTGAAAAGCGAAATATTTAACGGAGCCCTAAACACATTTAAAAAAAAAAGGTCCTAAAGCCAGGTCCCTCCCTTTTGTGGCGATACTACTGCTTTTTTTTTGATTATAACTACATATCGCACTATGAGTGCAATATTATCGCAAGTCGAATTTTTTTACATTTGGAGATAACATTCCGAAAGTAATAATTTTTGGTCGACAATTGTACTTGCAAAACTATCCTATCTAAAAATGTAAAATATATGGGATAATTTTGTAAATAAGTTATTATTACATTAAACAAAAAGCCAGACGTCGTCCGAGCAAAACAATCACTTCAGCGATACCATAGTTTTGCACCCAATAAATCTGTCCGACGGTAAAACTGATTGAACGTATCTCAAAATGTGATAGTATTGTTCTCTTAAATAGCTCAGTTCCGCTCTGGAAGTGTTAGAGATCGCTTATGTTTATTTTCTGATTGATTCAAAATGATGCCAAGAGGGAAATTAATTGTTAATTTAGCAAGGAACAGTCCAACGTTGTTAATAATGAGGTAAGTAGGTAAAAATGTTATTCTTATGTTATAGTTTATTACTACAGTAGAACATCGTTATTCTGGATGTATGCATGTATGACAAAAAACTGGAAATAACGTACAGGATCGACCTGCGGGATAGTATTTAGTTTTAAAATTTATTTTTATAATACAGATTTGTGGTTCTGAGGAAAATAAGTAATGATACTGGTAATTAGAAACACAGCGTGTGTTTCAATTAAAATACTTAATAAAATATAGGATCTCATTAAAATAAATGTATGTTTGTCCTATAGCGCATTTCTAGGACACCTGATATATAAAACAAATACTTTAAGATAAACTACACCTGATTTTCTAACTTTTGTGTTTAATTATTTTTATTATATCAAATAAAAAAAGGGATTGGTGAAAAAATAACCAATAACCCTGTACCTATATTTTTCAGGATGAGAAAGAAAGTAAGGTTTACTTGGAAAATATTCAAAATTTCGAAACACCTCCACAATTTGTCAATTTGTTTTCCTATGCTTCTTTAACTGAAAAGTTTACTGATATTCAACATAGCAACGAAATTTATCAAGCAGGTTGTGCCATGTCGCAAGTTACTTCACCACTTGACATTGACAGTTCAGATAAAACTACTCAATATACTAATTTGGAAGTATTACAACCCATGAATTTACAATATGTTATGTCAGGCAAATCGAAAAATTACAACCAGGAACTACCAGATGAAGATGCACAGTCGGACACAGATGATATTATTTGTCAGACCACTAAGAAGTCACGATTAAATTCTGAACTAAAGACCCAAGAAAACAAGTTAAATCAAAGTAATATTAATTTTTTGGTTTTTTGTATCACAAAATTTAAGGTAATAATACTATTTAGGTGAACCTACCAATGACAATGACCAGGAAACATCAGAAACAGAAGATCCATTCCATGCGTCATCGGACGAAGATGAGACTTGGGAACCTAGTAGAGAAGTCCAGGTACCAGCTGCAAAATTGGAGGTGGAGAATTTCAATAAATCAGGAAGCAAACGGAGAAGTAGGAAAAGAGCTAGATATAGAAATAGAAATCCCGAAACATGGGAGAGAAATGTAAAAAAAGTAAAGTTAATCACGGTCAATTTTACACGTCTTCCTCTGGAAAACAAGTAGAGGAGAGAAGAGTTAAAACTGGCTGTAACGAGAAATGCAGCTTCAAGTGCAACTCAAATATTGACAACTTAAAAGCGTCAAGATATTTTCCAGCAATATTGGGAGCTTGGCAATATAGACCGTCAGAGAGATTTCTTATTAAGGCACATGGAAAATATTGAACCAAGATACAGATATGCAAGGACAAATCGAGGCAAAAATTATAAGTATTTTTTTGAAGTAAACAGTAAAACAATAAGAGTTTGTAAGACGTTTTTTCATAACACTCTTGGAATAAGTGATATGATGACAAGAACTGCTCAAATGAAGAAATCCGCTGAAGGAGTACTAGAAGCTGACAAAAGGGGAACTCATAATAAACAAAGGAAATTGGCCTATGACCTGAAGCAAGATATAAGAAATCACATAGAGTCAATACCGACAGTGGAATCACACTACTTAAGAGCCCAAACGAAGAAGATTTACTTTGAAGGAGACCTAAATTTAAGTACTTTATATAAACTTTATGTTGAAAAATGCAAAGAGATCGGAAAGCCTTTTGCCAAATATTATCATTATGCGAAAATATTTAACTATGAATACAATATATAGGCTTTTTTACACCAAAAAAAGACCAGTGTGGGTTCTGTGAGACATACAAGAATTCATCATTAGCCGAAAAAGAAAACATGCAACAAAGGTTTGAAGATCATCTTCGTAACAAAACAATTGCACGAGAAGAAAAACAACGTGATACTGCACTAGCGCATGAAAATGCAAATGTTATGGTGGCTGTTTACGATATGCAAGCAGTATTGCCCACCCCGTGTTCGTTGGTAAGTGATTTTTACTACAAAAGTAAACTTGCAACAATGAATTTTACAGTTTATAATATTGCAAATAAAATTGGCCATTGTTATGTTTGGAATGAGACAATTGGAAAACGTGGCTCTAACGAGATTGGTAGTTTTCTGCTTAATTTTTTAAAGAAGAACGACCAGTTTACAGATATTATATTTTATTCAGATAACTGCTGCGGCCAAAACAAAAATAAATTTATAGCAGCAACTTACCTTTATCTGGTTAGCACATTCGAAAACATACATTCCATTACTCATAAATTTTTAATTGTGGGTCACACACAATACGAAGGTGATTTCTGCTATTGAGCGAGAAAAAACTAGAATGTTAAGGCCAACAATATTTACGTACCTGCACAGTGGGTACCAGTTATTGCTCTTGCTAAAAAGAAAGGTAATCCCTATGTTATGAATGAAGTCCAACAAAATGATATCTACGATATTAAAGCCTTAACTAGTAAGATAGGAAACCAATTTTCTATTAATATACAAAATAAAAAAGTCTGTTGGGGTGACATTAAAATATTACAGTTTAGAAAAAATGCCCAAAATTCTGTGTTTTATAAAACAAATTATGAAGCAGATCAGTTTGACGAAATTTTAGTTAACCGTTCAAACAGACGAGGAGTAACAGAATCCAACAGAGGAAATATTGAGCTTCAAAAAGCTTATACTGGTCCTCTGAGCGTAAGCAAAAAGAAAAAAGACGGATTATTATCTCTATGCCAAAAGAATACCACGAATTTTACCGAAATCTGCCAATTTCCGATGTCTCAAGAAATGAATCCGATTCTGAATAACAAAATATTATGTTTGTTCATAACCTAAAAATGTATGGTACATGTTTGTTTTTAATAAAGCACTAGTTTTTTTTTAAATAATAAATATGACTTTTATTATTATGACAATGGGATCATAATGCTAAATTAAATAATACTAATCAATATTTTTCTAGTGCAAGACTATCTTATCTTCAAATATCATATTAATCCAGTATGTACCTCATCTTATAAAAATATTAGGTAAAAAGAATTAGTGTTGCTGTAAAACTTTTAGTTTAAAGGTTGCCTAAATTGTCAATAGTATCGGCGTCCCAAAAAAAAAAGATCGGAACGAAATAAAACAATATTATCTATTTTTAAATCTACTTTTTTTGAGTTGCGATAGTATTGTACTTAGAGTGCGATATTATTTTCTTCGCGGAGCACACTGAGTAACGCTGTCTTAGAGAATTGAATAGTTCCAAAGTCTAAACAGTCTGGTCATAGAAGAACTGAAATATATTCTGCAACAATATTTAAGTCTAAAATTAGCTATACCTTTTATATTAGTAAAGGAGAAAATGTCTTCAAGCCAAGTGAGGAAAATACACTTTAGTTCTTATAATACTGCAATAGTCTCACACTCATAATATATGTTCTAATTGAAACTCGCACATGCCTCATTGCATGCATAGGTACCGCTTTTTTTAGAATGTATATATGTAGAGAAATTCCAACACTGGATGTACATTCCCGTGAATTGAACAAGGTATAATAGGAATATGTACATAACAGAAATTGCTGTCAGCGAGCATCGACACGACTTCTATCTCTGGTCACTCCCAATAGTTATATGCATAGACAGATTGATGTGCGAAGAGTGACATCACCAGCGGTGTCTGGTATCTACCTAGACAACACACCAAATCCCAGAGATATCCAATATATCCACAGGATATCAGAAATATTCCGTGGATATAATATGTATATCCAAATGTCCGTCTATATCCATAATATAGAAGATATCCTATGGATTATCCAGCAAAATATCTAATGGGTATCTTCAAGACAATACGAGAAATCCCAGAGATATCCACAGAATATATTTTGTGGATATCCAATATGGATATCCAACCAAATGTTCGTCTATATCCCAGGATATAGAAGAATTCGGATATTCAGCAAAATATTTTATGGGTATCTTTAGTAGAGGTTCATAAAAGTAACCAATGTTTATTGAATAACGTCGAAAGAAAATAGCAGAGAAAAAATATTTTCAACACTCAAAATATTTTCAACACTCTGCCTTTGATTTTGCCCGCTAAGGAGAAAGACATCCTTATTAGGACTCTTCAGCAATAAATGGAAATTCTCGACTCCAGTCTCTAATGGAGTTTGATTGGGAAACAAATTTCGATCGAACTCAATTACGGCGGGTTAAGTATGAGTAGATGCGAAAGTGGTATCGCCATCTATACTTAGTAAGCAAAATCAAAAATTACATCTAGTGGATATCCAGGATGGTTTGCGTTCGCGCCTAGACTTTGATTATTTAGTGGATGTCCATGGGATATTGAATACACCTTAAAAAAATTAATTTTAAATATCTGAACGGTACTATTAGCCACAATGGCGTAATTTTTTGATAATTTGC